CAATGAGACAGCAAGGAAGAGATAAATAAAGTTTTCTGTGCCTGTTCTTTCCTGTGGTAAACTGCTTCTGGAAAATGTGGCATGCAAAAAGGCACCTCAATACGACACAGTCATCTTTTAGTGATGTGATTCTGCTTCTTGGGCTTGACTATGCTAAAAAATGCACCATAACTGTAATGTAATATGAAGGAGCTGCAAGGAAGGAAATAAATTATTTAAAAAAATATTATTTGGATGTGACTATTGTGGGGTTTTTTCCTGGATATTTAGCCGGGACTGGGAGCTAGCTGCAGAGTTAACTGACTTCAAGACCTATACATTTAAAGAGAAACATATAGAAAGAGAGAGAGAAAGAAGGAGAGAGAGAGGTGGGAGAGAGCAACAGAGGAGGGGGATAGGGGAGAGATCGAGTATCTGAGGGAGTATAATTAACTCCATGGTCTGCCTCTCTGCAGGCCTGCGGCATACTGCTCTGAAATGCTGATTCAGTACACAGATAGAGAGAGTAGCACGGGAGGGAGAAGGGGGTGAGGAGAGGGATGCAGTAAGAGAGAGAGGGGGAGAGAGAGAGAGAGAGAGAGAGAGAGAGAGAGAGAGAGAGAGAGAGAGAGAGAAGATGTTTCAGTGAAGTGAAAATGTGAAATGAAGCAATAGATGGTTCAGTGTAAAGAGAGTAAAACTCCTTTAATGAAAGTAATATGTGCAAGATCAGCTGTATGAGAACATATACAGTAGGTAGATGGTATACTTACTTTATAATGTGAGGCAGGTTATCTGCAGTCAGTGGTGAACACTGAGCGCTGAACATCTGCAGCTGCTTCAGAGACAGCAGCAAAATCTCACTCTGCGTTACCAAGAGAACAGTGACATCTAGAGGCGTAACAGTAGATTTGACCTGCACTGACTTTCTGCTGCAGAACTGCTGATAGATACAGCCAACGACTTTGTTTTTGTTCCTTTTTAGACAGAAGAAGAAAAGCATAACTCACCCCTCAGGCCCTCGCTGCTCGGTGGAGCTGCTCAATGCAGATGTTCACTGGTTGTTCAGGGAGCTTTTAGGTTTTAATGTGCATTAATGTATCTTAACTTGGTTAAAAAACATTTTAAAGAAAGAAATAGACCTACAGTAGACAAACAGAGTGCATCCAGGGTCACTTTAGTGTGTGGGGTGCTGAATCGCTAACAGAGGGGTTAGTCACAGTTGAAAGTAGTCAGTCTGTCACCAGGCTGGGGGGCCAGAGGCAGCTCACATTTATAATGCATCAAGCTGAGCGTCATGTAAACTGGACACAGACGAAACAATGGAACCAATAAATACTGGTGAGAGATGAGATTGGTGGATGGATAACAATACTTACCAAATAAACATGCAGATATCGTCTTCTATACATATATATCCAATGCATAATAAACAGATTTATGTTAGTTAGTAGTTAAAGTATGGATGAAATATCAAAAACACTGATAAATATGACCAATATTTATTTCTTAGAAACTTTTATTAAAGTGAACAGAATATCATTTGTAGAGCACACAAATTCAAGGCAGGCTGGTGTTACAGGATTTCTATGATACTGACTTCAATTATATAATTTGTAAAGTCAAAGTCCATGTTTCTACTCTGTTCTACAGTCTTTATTGTGTGTTTTTGTTTTTTGGGCTCAAGCAGCAAGGAGAAAGTGCCATCTTACATTTTTTTTAAAATAATTCTTTAAAATAAAATTGTTTAAAACACACTCACAAGGATATGTAACAGCAGCACAAACGTTTAAAGAATACATACATTTGAGTATGTTCAAGTTTCCATGAGAGGAGCTACCTATGCTTAGTAGTGTGGACATATATAGTGTGGATATATGATGAAATGCATCATATAGAAGCCATAAGGCAGTAAATGTCCATATCCAAGTCCTTGAAAAGTATCCCTTCTACCTTCAAATAGCTTTCAACAAAACCTTATAAGCTTGGTTCAACACCTTTGATCTTGGGTCGATCAAAGTTGAATCAAAATTTAATGAAACGTCTGTCCAGCAGTGGAGGTTTGTGCTCAGAGAGGATGGGCAATACTGCAGCAGCTTCTCTTTCAGCCATGTCCGTTCACCTGGCTCTGTGTGTCTGACGTCGGCTCAGGTGGAACGTTTTCCCTCGGCATCAAGCCCCAAGTCTTAAGCAGATCAAACCGCTTAGCAGGAAGTGTGGAAAAGTAGTCCTTCTGTTTCTGAGAGTAGGTCTGGACTGGACGGATGATGTCTCTGTACCTCCAGTCCTGAGGAGGCAAAATTTCTGATTAATTAATTAATTTCCATTTATCATATATTAAATTACATGATAAAAACCCATTAAAACATACACTGGTACGCACAGGAATTCATATCTAGCATCATACAATGTCCTCATGAAAGAGACAGTCTAACAGCGCAGGTATCACTCTTTATTCTCATCTCACCACCTACAGCACAGAGTGAACAGACAACTGACAACAAAAGCTCCACAGATGGGGGGTCTCTCATCTAAAGGCCATCTGTCTGGAGGTCTCTGACATGAAACAGTTTGGTATCCCGGTGTTTTTATTTACTGTGTGTGTCACAGGTATTATTTCTTACAGCGCTGAGGTCTTGTACCTGCCAGTGAAAGTTGAAAGCCTCCAGCAGCTGTATCCTGCCCTCTCTGGAAGGCACACAGTCAGGAGGAACAGGCTGCTCCATCTCAGAGCCCACCATCACACCTCCAAACACCAACAGGGCTCGGATGGCAAACCAGCCCCCGAACCTCGGATGCACACACACTCCAAATATCTTCTGCAGGTAACAGAGGAAATACATAAAACAGAGGTGAGGAGACAAGGAAGGAAACGCTGCAAAATGATATATTACAACTCCTGGAATTTAACAATTTAACACCAAGCGTTACTTTTTCAGCCCAGGGTTGGTCTCTGACATCAGACTGTTGGTAGTAAAAAGCTGCTCCAGACACATGAGCAGCAGTCTGTGCCAAGAACTTCGGCTTCCTGCTGGGCAGCAGCTCGTAGTCATACCTCACATCCACCTCCTGACCTGGAAAACACTGCAGGGCAGCGAGAGATAAATAAAGATAGAGACATATTTAGGAGTCACAACCTGATCATGTAAATAATCTAATCTAAGTGTGAGGAAATTGGACACAATGAGGCTTCCAGTTTGGCAGAGATTTAGCCTGATGGAGCCGTTGTCATGGTGATTGTTGCCATACAGTTTATAGTGTGGTATCATGGCCGGTTTAAACCACTATGGGGCCTTGGGGCTGTAATGGGCCTCTATTGGACTCCTGTTCCTGGTGCTGTCCATCCTTGGTGTCTGTACCCAGTCACCTCCACAAACACCCACAAGTACAAGCTATAATGGATATTATTTTTCACAGGGACAACCAGAACTACCTGCACTGGATTGTGGGTCCAGTTGTTTTTGGTAATGAGAAATTGAAAAGAATATTTAAGAATGTGCAGCATATGAGGACCATATCACCAACAAAATCAAGCATCATCAAGACAGAGCCTCGAGAGGAGATAATGAGGACAGGACTGTCATGAGACACTCAGCATTTCAGCTGATATTGTGCTTTACTGGTGCATATTTCCATTTATTAAATCACTAAACAATAAACCACACTCACTGGCCCTGAAGGTCTGGAGCCAGGATGGGAAATTTACTTTTTAAAATGTGAACATCTACCAGGCACTGACACACAAATGTTTAAATTCACTCAATAGTAAATTATAATTTTGTGTCTACCAGCTACTTTCATATTTTACCAGCATTTGGCTGGTGGCTGGTGCACTTGTCTTTCCCAGTTGGTAGTCCAGCCTTGCGTGGCATCAAACCCTTTTAATCCCACTGTTACTGGACCATTGTGAATATGTTGTAAAGCAGTGAGTAGGACTGCGTTATGGTTATATTGGGTTTGCAGTATTTCTACATCAGTGTATATATATATATATATTTTTTTTAGGTATTTAATTACCATGTAGTCATTTTAAACAGCTTTCCAGACAATTTATTGTATCAAAACATATCTATGGACACTATAATTAAAAACGACACATACTGTAATAGAAGATTTTATCCACAATTGCCCACCCTTATCCCAAACCAATCATACAACCTTGTATCTGTCTGCCCCACGTTAAAGCTGGGGTATTCATTCACACTGCTCACCTGGGAGACAGCAGAGGTGACACAGTGTTTGACACACTGGTCTATGGGGTCAGACAGCCCCTGGCAGCCCCTCTCCTCCAGGAAGGGCAGGAAGGCTTGTTCAAACATGGAAGGAGTGCTGAGCACCACCATGGCCAGGCTGTCATCTGGGTAGGCCAGGCGGAGGGAGGGAGGCAGCAGGGAGTTATACCAACCAACCTGTGAACATACAGGGACGCAGTGAAATCACTCACAGTAGGGAAATATATATTTATCTCACATTTACAGTAGAATTTATAATCATTTACATAGATTGAGGGGGAAAAAATAAACAATGTTTACCCCCTTTACAATAGTTTACTGACTTTTTCAACTCCTCATTTCTCAGTCGTGGCTGCAGGGAAACAACTGGATGTATTTCTTAGTATTTTCCACATTTTGAAGTCCGTCTTGCTGTCAAAGCTTCACATTAGAAATGAATGAGTGCCACGATACCTTTAGAGGGTAGACTTCAAATCCAAGTTTCGATAAACAGTCTTCTAATTGTCCTCTTATTTCTTCCACATCTACCCTGGAAGCCGCCATCGCTGCGTATCAACACACCGCTAAGGATTATGGGATATGATGTTCTTTGGCTAATCAATGTCAGAAATGAAGCTCGACTCTTGCTGTTTCCGCAATGATTGCTTCTGACAAAATGAATGATTAACATACAATAAACAATGTTTTTAGTAGGAATTCTACTGTAGCACTTTAGTTATTTTACAAATGACAAGTAGAGTGACCACGTACTACACTACCCAGAAAACCCCTGCGGCTACGTCCTACGCAATCACGTTACTGGTATGAGCTCCTGGATTTAAAAGTGGAGTCGCAGGATTTTCTGTGAGTAGCCTGATTAGCCAGCTAACATAAACATTGGTATCGCTCTCTTTAAACATTATATATTGTGTTTTATAGAGATAGTTTATATGATATTTTAAAAAGAAGACATCACTCGCTGTCGGGCAATAATTACTTTACCAAACAAGACAGTAAAAAGTCACCGTGAAGCTGCTGCTAACTGACATTAGCTCAGGTTAACATGACAACATTGGCTATCTGACGTTTGTCACGCCTCCTCGGTGTTAACGTTACCTTGACGTGTTTAGTGTGCATTTATTGTGTGTGTGTTGGTATCCAGTACTCTGATATCTCCAGTGTGTAGCTACCTGCTCCTGGAGGCTGGAGGGAGATATATTCCCCACGGACCTGGAGATCAATTAAGAAAGCTCTTTCTTATCAGACAGTCTGCACTTTCTGGCACTTCAGCTCTATTTTTCCTGAGCAGCAGCTGACAAGCTTCACTGTAAACGTGCACCCATCAAGGCCTGCTGTAATTGAATCTCCCACAAGGTGTCAGAGATTACCTTTACTAGGTTGTTACCTCCCCGACCAGCCACCAAACACGTCTAATGTTACCGTATCACTATCCTACACTGGTTAATGATGATGTACCGTCACTGTCAGGCCGCACAACACTGGCTTGCATGACGATTTTGCACCCAAGATTATGAATTAGGATAACCCTAATGAATGATGTGTTTCTTTCTAGTTCAACTCAGACATGAACTGGGACAATCAGCTCAGCTCTATACTGTCAGTAGCAGATGGTAGCGTTGCAAAGATGAGGGTGAGTAGATTCATATTACCTTTGTCTAATTCATTAGTCTCATTATTAAAGAGAGTGTGAGGAATGTACACTGTGGCATGTTTTGTTTTACATCAGCCCTCACTGTGGTCTTGTGATCAGTTGTTAATTGTCATTATTGCAGCTGTCTGTAGATGGCACTGACGCTCCACTAAACTTTTTAACAGGCTCATTCAGTTATTCAGATTAAAGGGATGTTGTGTTTGTGAGAGTTTGGAAATTCCCCTCTGAATTTCGATGTTTTTATGTGTCCGTTGCACAGGAGAGGCTGACATCACCGGGGAAATTCACCAAAGCAGGAGAAGGTGGGTGACCTACTGTAGGTTTTCTGAATATGACTAGCAGAGGAAATGGCCTCTGTGTGTGTGTTTGTGTGTGTGAGAGAGAGAGACTTCCACCTTTTCAAACTTAACAAAAAGGTCCAGATCATGATAAGAGGGCCTGTGGTTTAACCCTTTTGTAAACAGCCTCTCTCACTTGCGTCTTCCTCTCCAGATTTGTTTCCAGTAAGGGAGAGGATCCATGAGTCAGATTTGGACCCTCCCGCTCTTCCTCCTCGAGTCCCCCTTCTCCGACAGCCTTCCCCATCTCTCAGTCCTGGTGTTCAGTGGGCAGACCTGGCTGCTATCCAATCACAACTCCAGATACAGAGCCAGGTGTGTGATTATTTGTTTAGTCGAGCCAGGTGTGCGAGATCAAACAGTTGGTTTGTTTGTATAATGTATTATCTGTGTCGTTGGAATTGACACAATTCCAAATGTCTTTTTCCAAGGCGATTGAGTCTCTCACCCAGAAACTCCATGACATGGAAAGGGAAAGACAGTCTCAACAATGTCACATCCAGACACTACAAGGTAACCTACTGCACACTGACTACTCACCTCAGTTTATAATGGGTCACATTATCCCTTCACAAATACAGCAACACCTGACTCCTGTTATTGTCCACTAGAAAAAAGGATTTTTTATCAGATTCAACATCGTGGCCTCGCCCCAAACTAAGTTAAGAGGTCACATTGCCGATAATCATTACACATAAGGTTGTAGCTTCCAAAATATATTCTATTCTTCATATCACCCCAGTTTTAGCGTCACTGCACTGGTTACTGATTAAGTTCAGAATACATTTTACATTTGTATTCATTACTTACAAGGCCATCCATGGTCTGGCTCCAGACTGCATCAAATAACCTTTAACCCCTTACAGCCCAGCCAGACCCCTAAGATCAGCTGATCAAAAACTTTGAGTTGTTCCACCAACCAGACTGGAGACCAACGGTGACGTATTCGGTTATTCCTCGGCTTTGAAACAGCCTTCCCCTCAGTGTGAGATCAGCTAACTTCACTGCTGCTTTTAAGGGTCTCCTGAAGACCCACCTTTACAAGATGACCTACACTTAACAATGTTTTACCTTTCATTATTTTATCGTGTTTTATGTCATCACATAATTAATTTTAATTGTGCCTGTTTAATATCATAATAGTAGTATTATTATTATTATTATTATTATTATTATTATTATTATTCAACTGTAAAGTCTGATAAACAAGTGAATTTAGTTCAGTAGTTTAGTAGCACCAGCACTCACAGCACCACAAGCAAGAGAACTACAGAGTTACTTAGACATGGTCTCATTTATTTCCATTGCTAAGATGCCCAATATTATTCCTTTCTTGATCTACTGTGGCTGGTATTGTGACTTATTTGTATGTCTGTGTCTGATTTACACTTTATATAGATTTGGTATAAACCAAAACTCACATTTCACAGAACCATGTATAATATTTAATTTAAGAGGAGAGCAAAGGACATTTTTGTTTTGACATTATTTATAGAAAATGAATTGCAAATAAGACAGAAAGCACTGTATCCAACATAATAAGACATTTTGGTTATTAAAACTGAATCATATCAAATATTTTCTTTTTTGAATTTGTGAAACTGTACGTTGTGATTTGTCATGTGGCCATCTTGGCTGATGTTGCTTCAGTGTCTCATAAGCCCACATGGGCTGGGCACCATAGAGTTGTGCATGACACTTAAATAAATAAATAAAAATCAATCAATGTACGATGCTTGGACAAAAAAAAAAAGTACAATTATATATCAATACATAAAAATGCTGCCTCACTGTTGTCTGAAGTTGAGTTTCTGCTAAATCTCTCTCTCCCTCCACCTCTCTACTGTCTGAAAAAGCAAATACACTCATCAAGGGAGGATTCATTTATAATTAATGATATTAATAAATTATTTGGATTTGTCCACAAGGCTGCTAAAAGAGAAAAAAAGAATCCCTTCCTCATATTAATCTCTTCTTTTCCAGAGGAGGTTCACAGGCTGAGGGAGAGGGAAAGAGAGAGGGACGAATCGAGGAGGGGACAAAGTCCAGGAGCAGAGCGGAGGTTGGAGCAATGGCGTAGGGAGGTTGGACGTGAGCTGAGCAGTCTACGGGGACACATCACCAGAGCCACGTCGCTAGGCAACCTGGAGGAGAGGTGCATTAGGGGTGGAGCTGGGGGCGTAAATGCAGAGTAAACTGATGATAGGTCCAGAGACTGAAAATGACAGGAAAATGTTTACACCTGTTTGCTTCTAGGAAGGTGACATTTGGTAAGACACAAGCACTTTTCTTTCTTTTTCCACAGTTTCAGCTCCAAGCTCCGACGAGAGGAGCTGGAACACCTGCGGAGAGAGGTGGACCAACTGAAAACGAGACTAAGTGAGTCTCACACACACACACACACACACACACACACACACACACACACACACACACACACACACACACACACACACACACACACACACACAGATCATGCCCTTGCATTGATTGTGCGGGACTGCACATGTCATGGGCTTATGCTGGCCTGCAAAGCAAAGGCAAGCACAGGCTTGTTCACAACGTCTGCTCTTTCTTTTCCTTTTGACAGGGAGACAAGAGGAGGACGTGTTCCTCCAGCAGGCAGAGACCAGAGAGACCAGGAGACAGTACGAACACAGCTGCAAGGTGCACACACATTGTATCAAGCAGGCTGTGTTTGCTGTGTGGTTTGTATTCTTTCAGATCCTTAACCTTTCCTTTTTGTGCATTGTTCAGACACTGGAGGAGCTGACAGACAGCTACAGAACTCATAGCACTGATCTGGCAAAGACACTCTCTAAGTATTCACACACACAAGAAGAGGTCCGCCAGATCAGGTACGTGTGCCTGTGTGCCAGTGTGCCTGTGTGCCTGTGTGTATGTGTGTGTGTTTTGGGGGTTTTGTCTCTCGTCACTCATATGTTGTACTGAATGTCTTACAACAGAACAACTGTGTCAGAGCTGAAGGAGGAGGTCAGGAGACTTATTCTCCGAGAACGTGAACCAACACCTTTGCTGTCAGCACACACATCAGGCAAGTCTCTACTCCGGCTCTCACACACACATTCACTGCATGATAAAACTATTTAACCACGTCTTTCTATTGGATTCAGGGCCAGCACCGCTCCCGCTCCGTCACAGCCACAGCAGAGGGGTCAGAGTCGAAGAGGCGGACTCTGACTCAGAAGACTTCAGTCCAACCCCGAGCCTGGCTGAAGTGAGCTCAGATGATCTGTCCTGGCTGGACGACAAAGAGCCTGGTGAGGAAGAATGTTTTCTGAATGAAAAATGAACCCAAGTATAGTTGTCCTGTGCACCTACAGATACTAAAGTAACGGCGTGCTGAGTCATCAACCCCACGTGTTTCCATCATATCACTTTCACAAGCCTTCTGTCCACCTTCATGTACGCCAACACAAACATGTTTTGACAATTGGATCACATGGTCCAACCAAGAGAACGTTACACAGAGCGCCAGATGGGCACAAACTGATGACGGTTTTAGCAAGATGGGACGTGTAGTTTTCCCTCCCATCCCTCCCCCACACATCTGGCTCAACCTTCGCTCTGATTCATCCCAGTAGATCTGACTCAGCGTGGGGAGCACTCGTCTTTGGTATCCTTTTCAGCAGTTATTAAAAGGAACAGTTATTGGGAAATATGCTTGTGTGTATCTGGCTGAGAGTTAGATGAGAGGATTGCTCGTAAATAGTCCTATAATGGGAATTGGTGAGCTTTAGAGGAACTGTTAGGTAGATTTAGTTACCTTTGGACAGAGCCAGACTAGCTGTTTCACCACTGTTTACATTTATGCTAGTACTCCTGGCTGTAGCACATAAGACATGAGAGTGTTATCAACCTTCTCATCCCACTCACAGCAAGAAAGGATCAGCATTGTGAGCGAAATGTCAGTCTATTTCTTTAAATGTATCCAAGAGGATGTGCAATGATGAAGGCAGAGAAGAAGTGTGAAAAGAGAGAAGATGAAAGAAAAAGTCAAAATTAGAAATAAAAGAAAGGTGAGCAATGTAATCGGGATATGTGCAGCACCATTGTGAGAACTACCGTGTTATTCCATCTGCAGATAAAGCAGTAAAGCTCTCATTTCCTCTCCAACAGTCTCTGCGAAGCAAGTAATGTCTTAGGAAATTTGGTACACAGTGTGTTTGTGTATGTGTGAGTGTGTGCACTGCTCACCCCTGAGACTTACTGTAACAGAAGGTTGATGTTGTTCCCGGAAGAGATTACAATCTGCACTAAATGTTTCCCAGATTGATTTGGGCCCATGAAGTCGGGCTAATTTGACAATTGTACACACACACACACACACACACACACACACACACACACACACACACACACACACACACACACACACATACACACATACACACACACACATACTGGTACACAGTTGTTATGGGAAACATTTGAATGTCTTCCAGCCTAATCCCACAGGAGGCACTCAGTCACTCTCACACACACAAGTAACTGCTCCTTCTCTGCTCTTCACCTCTGCCAGCTCTTCATCAGAAGCCGCGAGTGCGTCTGAGCGTTCAGTCCAGACGGAGTGACTTTGCTGGTCCGGGATCAGATCTGGAGGAGGATGATGATGATGATGATGATGATGATGAAGGTGGTGATCTCCTCGATGATGACGTGAACCCAGATTTAGGATCTGACCTAAGTCTCGATGATCTCTAACCTTTTTTTTTAAGGCGACGTTCTGTCATTCTACTTGAGAAGAATTCTGCAACATAAAGACAACTCTTACAGATTCTCCAACACACCACCTGAGACATATTGTAACCTTTAAATTGATTTGATCAGTTTGGAGTTACAGTCCTAATCTGAAAACCAAAATAGAAATAGTGAGGATGACTTTCCATTGTGGTCCCAAGGGAAGGGGAAAGTATGGCAAAAAGCAGCAACAGAAGCACATACATATAACAAGTAATGAAGTCCTCCTTCTTAGTGTTATTACTGTTGCGTAACAGACCTGCTTGGATATGATCTGTGATACAAACAAACAGATCACACAGTGTCAGTAACTAACAGGTTAATCAGAGCTTCTTTTTTTTTTTTTTTCAAACTGATTTTCAGTTACTTGTCTAATTATTTTTGTCTGGTCCCATGTGACACACCCAACCCTTGCTACCACAGTGTGCTGAAACAAACCACCAAAGGATTCAGTGTCTTTGTTTGAAATGTTTTTCTCCCCCTCTGTCTGGTTAGCGATATCTGCTAGAGGGCTGAGGGCTGTACAAACTGCCGAGGACTGCGATAGCCACAAATTGTCTTTAAGTAATCTGCAGTAACTGCCTCCACATGCACAGACTGGTAAGATGCTGAGAACAAACTAAGAAGAGCTTTTTTTTGTTGTTGTTTAAAAAGCTGAGATTTCTTGTGAGAACATTTTTTGCCATGACGGTGGATAGCAGAACTTTGTAGTATTTTTGTAAGCTGTTTTATTTCTCACTACAGTGTTCACTGGTTGAACCTTTGGGCACAAAAATTTGAAATCAGTCGCCACTTTTATGCTGCACCCTCTGCACCCATGTTGCAAGTCACTGACAATAAATTATGGGTCTTACCAGAGTTAAAGGATTGGAGGACTGTGATTGGTCCACTAAACCACAATGTTTGGTTTTAGACAGAAGTTTTAAAAATAGTTATGTTTAGGCTTGTTAACATTACAGATTGTTGGAGTTGGATAGAGTTTTAGTGTAGTTAAGTACTGCAGGCCTTTCATCTCTGCCCACTACTACAGTGTTACACCACTGATCACTGCTTTTGATATATATTGCCTTTTAGTTGGCATTTTTGAATTAATCAATCTGTTATAACAAGCTAATTTAACAGTACCTTAATGAAATTGTACTTCTACTGAGCTTTGTACAGTATTACATCGAGTACAGATTCACAGCACCTTTTAAGCTTTAAGTTCAGGTGATTGTGTACAGTACAGTAAATGTAAGCTACACTAACAGAGTAATGGATATTTAATGGGGTTTTCTTGCTGACATATTGCACTCTTCAATCCAGGAGGAATCTCACGAGGGATGAGGTTTTGATTCCTGGTAATGCAGCTGAAGTGATGGCAAAGAGGAATCAAAAATCCATTACCACTATCAAGGCACCTGTTTTGTCTCCAAACAATAAAATTCTGTGTAAAAGTTAAAAGAGAGGAGCTTGACTTTCTATGGCTGCTTCTATAGATCAGTGTTGTGTTCTGGTTGTGCTTGGTGCTGCAGCCAAACAGCAGTTTACAACAAACTCTGTGAATAACAGATCTGAAGTGGGATAAAGAGGAAATAGAGAGGATGGTTTCAAAATACTTTTAATCATAAAACACAGTCCATAATCCACATCTGGCAGCAAAGCCTCATTATGCATTCATTACAGTTTTTAACACCAATATCAGAGATCTCAAGTGTATAATTTACTGCTGGATGTACAGACGGTTGACAAAAGGAAGAACGAGGGTTCAAAACAGTAAATGAGGGAATATCTTTAGTTGTTTATGCCTCCAGTATCAGCCATAGCAAGACATTTATTCCTTTAATTTGCCCCCCATCTGTAGCTATTAATGTTTGAAAGGTTCGATTACGAACTGACTAATTGAAATAATATTAGCTCCCGAATGATTTCCATCAACGTCAGTCGCCACTCAATGGATGTAATGCTTTCCTTTTATGCTGCACCCTCTGCACCCATGTTGCAAGTCACTGACAATAAATGATGGGTCCTACCAGAGTTAAAGGATTGGAGGACTGTGATTGGTCCACTAAACCACAATGTTTGGTTTTAGACAGAAGTTTTAAAAATAGTTATGTTTAGGCTTGTTAAGATTACAGATTGTTGGAGTTGGATAGAGTTTTAGTGTAGTTAAGTACTGCAGGCCTTTCATCTCTGCCCACTACAACAGTGTTACACCACTGATCACTGCTTTTGATCAAACCTATAGTATGCTTATATTGCCTTTAGTTGGCATTTTTGAATTAATCAATCGGTTATAACAAGCTAATTTAACAGTACCTTAATGAAATTGTACTTCTACTGAGCTTTGTACAGTATTACATCGAGTACAGATTCACAGCACCTTTTAAGCTTTAAGTTCAGGTGATCGTGTACAGTACAGTAAATGTAAGCTACACTAACAGAGTAATGGATGTTTAATGGGGTTTTCTTGCTGACATATTGCACTCTTCAATCCAGGAGGAATCTCACGAGGGATGAGGTTTTGATTCCTGGTAATGCAGCTGAAGTGATGGCAAAGAGGAATCAAAAATCCATTACCACTATCAAGGCACCTCCAGTGCGATCTCTTTATACACACACACAGCTCGGTAAAGTCAGGAGCCCCTTAATGCTGCCCTGTCTGACATGAGTCACACTGTGCGAGGCTTGGTGTCAAGCTGTTAAATATTTCAGCATCCAGACACCCCCCATCGTGGATCCCAGACCTCAGTGCAGAGCCATGGGGGAGCTGACGGGCAGGTTAGGTGTTCAGTGGGGTGTGAGTTTTCAGGATTGGGCGAAGAAAGTGACCACATACACTATGTAGCTCATCCATCAATAGTGAGCAATAAAAGACCTTTCTAACAAACAGTAAATGGCACAGAGCAGAACATTACAGTATTTAAACCTCTTCTAACACGCTCTCTTTGTATAGTTGTTAATATAGTAGTTGGAAGAGACATTTAATGAAGAAAAGGCCCATTTATTTGTTTGTGGTCAGATAATGGCTGATGAATCAGACCCTTCTACTGCACTTTTATTGCATTTGCCAAGTATTGTGCAGTGGCGATGCAGTAAAGCAGTGCACTGATACATTCATTGTTGGTCTGTAAAGAAAATGTTTAGTGTTTTGTCTCCAAACAATAAAAGTCTGTGTAAAAGTTAAAAGAGAGGAGCTTGACTTTCTATGGCTGCTTCTATAGATCAGTGTTGTGTTCTTGTTGTGCTTGGTGCTGCAGCCAAACAGCAGTTTACAACACAAACTGTGAATAACAGATCTGAAGCGAGATTAAGAGGAAATAGAGAGGATGGTTTCAAAATACTTTTAATCATAAAACACAGTCCATAATCCACATCTGGCAGCAAAGCCTCATTATGCATTCAGGATACTTACAATTTTAACACCAATATCAGACATCTCAAGTGTATAATTTTCTGTGGTTGTACAGACGGTTGACAAAAGGAAGAACAAGGGTTCTAAACAGTAAGTGAGGGAATATCTTTAGGTGTTTATCCCTCCAGTATCGGCCATTTTGTTTTATTATTCCTTTAATTTGTCACCCATCTGTAGTTATTCATGGTAGAAAGATTCAACTGCGAATTGACTAACTGAAGTATTAGCTCCCAACTGATTCCCATCGACGTGGGTCGTCTTGTGTTTGTCTCACTTTCGCTCACTTTTTCCGGCACATTTGCAGAGGATGCAGATAGCGAGGCAGATACACAGTAAAATCAATGAAATATTCATGAACTTTCCATCTGAGAGAACAAGGTGCTGTCAGGACAGTCCATGTAACAGTTTGCATGAAAAGCTAAAGCACCAACTAAGATGACATTTCAAAAAAGTTTTCTTTGCATGATGCAATCATCAGTAGTATTTACAACACACAGGACAATGCTAACACTGTGTGGAAAGGCCACTGGCCAATTTCAGTCTGCAACTGTCATTGTATGAATGAGTGCCTCATGGTGAACACGCTCAAGGCTAGTCTTCAAACACAGGCAAGTCAGAGCAGCTACCTGGCCCAGAGTGTGTGTTTTTCGATGGGGATCGCACAAAGTTCTGGGAATGACTGGTAAATCTGGAAGTTGACTATAAATACAGTATACAATAAGAGCTGTTCCGATAATGTGTAAGGCACTCTCTCCTGGACTCAAGACCCCAGGAGAGAAAAAAACACATGTATCAAAACCAGGCCAAAAGGCAGCAGGACCTTCAACACAAAGAGAAAACGCTTAAATATCCCCTTCCATAACTTCAAAAATCCTTACACGCACCTTCAACAGACTCACACACCTACAAACACACACACTGCCCGCACCTCTTTATGCATACAAAACTCAAATTTGATCATACACAAAAATATGTCCATTTTTTTCCCCCTGCTCCTGAAAAAGTAAAGTGCAACCTCCATAATCAGGCCGTTTTCTATGTTCATTTCTTTTCTCTGGCCTCTCCGTCAGACTTTTTTCTGTCTGACTTTGTAACTTTAACTAATAACAGGGAAATCAGACCAGTGACCCCACATAAGAGTCTGGTAGCAGAAGGCTGAGTCTGTGTCCAAGTGCCCAAATGAGGTTGCCTCCTGCTTTACACCTTTATAACTCTAGGGAAATGAAAATGTATTATACAACTCCCTTACTCCACAAGATGGGCTGACAAATATTAAGCATACAGTATTAAACAAGGGCGTTGGCCAAATTTGAAATTAAAGACACCAAAATAGCCAATCCGACCCCATGGTGGGCGTTATCTTCATTGTCCATTGCAGCTTCAATTGTGTCCTTTCCTACATGACAGTGATCTAGATAAATGAAAGCAATCCAGAAATGTGCTCACACCTACCCAGAATTCTTTCTGTTTGGTGAAGATTAAGGAAGAGAGACCAGGTTTGACAGCCATTGCGGCATGAGCCTGGATTCAAGGAGAGTATTTGGGTGCCAAAAAAATGTCAGTCGTGCCTCCATCAGTAGCTGTACATGGACAAGGGTGTGTCCTCCATCATATCGTCCTACACAGAGAAAATGGAATATAAGTAATTATACACAGCTAATATGATATAATAGATAATAATAATATATGATACAATACTATGAATTTTGTGGTACCCCTTTTTGATAAAAATGGGGTTATCAGTTATAAATTATGGTTAATTAATCCTTTTTAATGTTTTATAGATCCATTAAGCCATTAAGAAGAACAACTTTGTGAAAACTCTCCACGGGTGGTGAGTCATTAAGTTAAGTTAAGGAATAGTAATTTCTTCCTGAGATTTATATGAGAAGATTGATATGCCTGTATATAAATATATATATATATATATATATATATATATATATATTAAGCTACAACCTCAGCATAAAGACCCAATAAACATATTATATTGTTTACCGTGAGAGTGGTATCATCCTCCTCATCTAACTCTCAAATAAACAAATAAACACATATTTGTCTATTATCATTTAAAGTTCTGTTCCACCCAAAGAAAAAAAATCTTCTTGTTCCTACAGCTGGATGTTTGATCTTCACTGTGCAGACTGATGTCTGTGCAGAGTTTGACACTAGAAGGATGTTTTCATATTCATCTGCTGGAAGTGGAAAGTTTCTCTGTGCTCACTGAAAATCAGATTTTAAGGGGCTAGGAACATGATTTGAATACACAAATAGTTTGAAAGTCAAACTTGGTTTAATTTGCAACTTATTATTAAATGTGATGTAGAAACTTGAAGCCGCCAGTGCACATACACTTTGAATGGACTTTACAGTCAAGTAGGAGACATCTTGTGTCCAGCAGGAAAACTAATATAAACAAAATTTGCATATTCATAGATTCAGAAAGGTTTAATAAGATAGAAGGAGTAGATGTGTAGATGGCTAAACCAAGCAGACTATATATGTCTTATTACATGTCTGGAGGGGATCTTTAAGTCTCTACTACCAAATGTGAATAAGTTAGTTGGACAAACTCCAACTTAGTCTTTAATAAACAATTCATTAACTATTAATAAAGCCATAGTTACAGCTTTTTTATAATATACTACACTATGGCTGGCAGCAGGAACTGTGCAGTTATGCCAAATGGCTCCTGGTAAGTTGTAACAGTATATCTCACATCTGTGCTGAATATTTTCACTGAGACAGCGGTGAAAGTGTTGCCTGGATGTTACGGACATGCTCACCATAGGTAGGTCCTGGAGCCTGCGGAACTCTGGTCGGTTGTCTCTTCGGCGCAGTTTGAGGAAGAGAAGCAGAGTGATGATGACAGCAGTGATGATGAAGGCTGACACCAGGCCAGCCAGGAGGGGGTCTAATGTGGGAGACTCATGGATCACCGTAGCTGGAACAAAAACACACAGTAGAAAACTGAGTAAACAAGCAGGCAATGTAAAAGATTTTTTTTATCGTGACTTAATACGGTGCGAAATGTAGAATCACAGATTCTTAAATGGTTATTTATGTAAAGCTGTAACTGGAGCTAAATATAGACTCGACCACAGCATGTTGAGCTCCAGTGTTCATCATGTAGCTCCGGACACAAATGTCAAACACAGGATGGTGATGTTAAGCTTGCCTCTACTTAAGCTCTCTGTTGAACAAGTAAATTTATTTTTAGGGCATAATTTTAAGAATTAGAATCAAGCAGTTTATGTTGTATGTGCCTACAGTACAGTATGTTTTAGTTTTCTCTCAGAGTGCTGTTCAATCTCTAACAACATCATCACTCTTGACCTTTCTATGTTGATGTCTCTGTGTTTGCATATTTCTTTGCGGGAGGAGTTTGCTCCTGCTTTTTTGGGAGTGTATTTCTTTATATGGATGTTGCTATGGAAAACTATTTTGTAAACTTAGCTGTTTTTTTATATCCTCTGGTTGAAAGTAACAACCACCACAGAGCAGCGAAGGCTCCCAGTTCCTCTGGCTAATGGAAAGAGGCGAAGTGCCAAGCGTGGCCTAATAAAACCACGCAGAGTGAGAGAACCAGAAGGAATTTTATATTTTAACAGTATTCGAGCAGGCTGGTCAACTCCAAAGTGTTAATTAGGTTTTCCCTCTTTTGCAATCTGAGTCCTCTCAGGGTGAAAAAACTGAGAATAGATAAAGACATGTACTGTAGATATATAAATCATTTAGCAGACAGACAGGGCGAGAGAAACAGAAAAAGAAGGAAAACAGAGCATTCTTGAGGACTCGAGTCCCATGACTGCCTCTGTCCCTTTTCCAAACAGAGCCATGATTGTGGAGTGCTTGGTGGTGACAGTGCTTGTAGATGTAGACGGGGGGGATGCGTGGTGTGTGTTTGTGTCTGTGTGTGTAGATGCGAGGACTGGCTTGTGCTGGAAAACAAAGAACAGCGTCGCCTTTGTTGTTAAGCTAATTCACTTCTGGATCTGTCAATATCCAGGCCGTGAATCGCCCAGATTTAAATTCATTTACCGACACAGAAGATATTATTCACTTACTGTCACCCCCAACGTTGAGCTGGGAGGGGGTGTCGGCATGGGTTTTGGCCTGGGGGCTGCTTGGTGGGCTGCTTGTTAACTTTTGGTGGGCTTCAGTGGAGGTCCCAGGATGTCCGTCGGGTGGTGCAGTGTTTTGCGTTTGTGAATTGGGGGGCTCTTTAGAGGAGCTGGTGCTGGATGCTGAAGTGGACTGGGCGATGGTGGAAGTGGTGGTATTTCCGGATTTAGGTGGCTCAGGTGTTGGGACAGAAGTGGATGAGTGTGTTATGTTGTGTGTGGGCTGGTTTGATGCTGTCACGGAGACAGGAAGTGTAGGTGTAGCTTGAGGCGAGGTGTTTGTGGGTGGCGCGGTGGTCTGTGTGGTGTCTGTGGGAGCAGGGTGAGTTGTGTGTGTGGTGCTGGTGGTGGCGATGGTGGTGGGTGTGAGGTGAGAGGTGGGGGCGTGGCTCTCAGCGGGAGGAGCTGTAGGCTGTGTTGTTGACTGATTTGTCAGGTTTATTTTAGGATCTGAGGAAGGGACGATGACAGTATCTGCAGAAAGAAAAAGACAACATTATAATTATATTACTGTAATATTACTGGGACAGTGTTCTGCAGAGCCTAAGAAGAGACTATGAGGCATTAAATTACAAATAATCAACCATATTATAAATTAACACATTTTCTCAATTTCCCCCAGTGGTATCCAGCCATGCAGATAATTGGTTTTATCTGCCAGGTTTTTCGATATTGCTCTCTGAGACACCTGCCACCACCCAATACGATGTAGGTAAAGGGAATTTTGTTTGTGGTGCTCAGAGCATGTTGTTTTTACCAGAACTACGCTCTATGGGTGGCAGTGCTGATCCAGTCTGAAATTTAAAATTTAAAATTACATGAGGATAACTTCTGGTGATCTCCTGACCTTTGCTGTAGCGCCAATATGAGGTTGATATTTTTGGTTTATAGTGAAATGTCTATTGTCAGCTATTGGATAGATTGCCATACGTTTTGTACAGATCTCCATAATAACTTGACGTTTCAACTTTTCGTGTACCATGATCATCAGTTGGAAATTTCTAATGAAAACTGAAGACATTCCCATCAGCCTTTGTGTTTTGTGCAATTAGCACATCCTACCTGGTAAACATGATGCCTGCTTAACATTAGCATCTGCATTGTGAGCTTCTTTTGTAGCATGCTGACATTAGCATTAGCTAAAAGCACCAGTGTGGCTGTAGACTCTTGATTGGATGCTGTCAGACTGGCTCAAACTAAAATCTGGGGAATTAGGTGTCAATATTCTGGGAGTAGCATTAACGTTAGCTGTTTTAGGAACTAGAGGCAAATTAATTGATTTGTGGCACATTTTTAAATGAAAAAAACGTTTTAATCTTAGGGCCTGGGGGATCAAGTATTTGTATTGTGTTTCACTTGACAAGTCTATTGTCAAGTTTAATCTAAATCCTAAAATGTCTGTCTGACTTCCATGCCACATGACCACACGGTCGGAACCGCCACCAGTCCAATTTCAGCTGGCGACCTTTATTACATGTCATACCCCCCCCCCCCAAAAAAAACCTAAACTATCTGCGTGGCTAGACAGAGATACCAACCCTTAAAGTTGTGCACATGCAAATATACATGAACAGATTTTTCCACAGAAAGCCAAAAAATGTGCTTAGACTGTGAATATGTTTATGAGTCTAACGTGTGAACCAGCGCCGGGTGTGTGTGTGAGGGGGGGGGTATTTCACTTCTACCTTTCTCACCCCCTTGTGAAAAGTCACACAGCATTTAATCACTTCTTTCCTCTCCTCAACACCATCTGAATGTCTTCCGCACAAACTTTTCACTGACTATATTTATATTTTACCATTGCTCTCACAGCAGACCTTTAATTAACTCATCTTTATTCTCATCTTTTACTTTGATCTAACACCATCTCTGATATTCTATCCTGCACTACACTTTTCTTTTTTAAACTATACTGACATCTCTGTCTCAGCCTGTGTTGTGTTTGTGGCCTGACTGCCAACACTTTAACCCTGCCACTCTGTGGCCCACTTCTGGATGTGGAAAACAGAGATAAGGACTTTGTTAAATATAGCTCCTAAACTCTAAGCCACCTGCTGCTAGACTCCCTACTAAATCCCTCTGAAGTGTGACAAAACTTCCCTAATGGCAAACTTCAAACAGACGAATAACAACCACAACATTAGATCAGTGATTAATGCAGAATTAAGAATGCAGTTGCATAGTCACCATTATTCATTTGCCCTTCTGTAGTTGTGTTGTTTCTCAAACTACTGGTGACATTGGTGTCAGAGGCATTCGGTAAAAGCGTGGCAGCATGGTTGCTGGAGTTCAGGCCAGAAGCAGGTTCAGGCTCTGCAACTGGAGCCTGAAGAGCACCTTTTGAATTAGAGGAGGGAGCGGCATCACCTGATGAGGAGAGGACTCAGTCAAATTTGGAGTCATTAACAACGTATTTGCTCATTATTTCAAGCGAACAGGGGACAACAGTCAGCAATGTGTATCCAACAACAATTATTATATAATAATAATTATTTAACATACACATATTTTATTTATCCGGGGGAAGTTGTCTGTCTGTGCATAATTTTTCAAGCAAAGCAGTGCAACACTTAATAGAATTACAGTCTATCAGTTGATCAATGAGCAGTTTCATTGGAACAAATGGGTTTACTGTCTTGCTAAAGTGCTGGGTGAGAATATAATTTCTTTTGCATCAGGATGCGGTGGTTTTTGTGAGTGATCCTTTATAGTGAAACAAAGTGAAGCTACTTGTGACCCCTTGAGACGTGAGCAGTTCAACCAAAGAGGGATGTTTCCCTCAAATTGTTGTTGAAAAGAGGCCTAAAAAGGTAAAACTATCCCCCATTTTAAAACAAGAAAATTGCACAATTTGTGACACATAAATATGCTTTTTAATCATGTAATGGCTCCTCAGATTTATCTTAAGACCTCTTGGAGGACCCCAGGTTGGGAACCACTGTATGGATATTGAGAGTTGCAAAGACGCACAACCCAGTCGCATTACTGTAAAACATAATTCCAGAGTACAAAATAAAATGGATAAAGACTGACTCAGACTTTTACTTTGAATGACTTCTACTTTGATCTACGAAGTAATGTCCTTTTAATGAAGACCTTCTCTCTCTCTCTCTCTCTCTCTCTCTCTCTCTCTCTCTCTCTCTCTCTCTCTCTCTCTCTCTCTCTCTCCCCTCATGGTCTTGATCTCTTCACTGTACAAGTCTTCATTCCTGTTTCTACATGATTCCCTTTGATGAAGACCAGAGCACTAATGTAATGTAATGTCATTACCGTTCAGTAACACACTGCCATGATGCCTTTCATTACCTCCGTAATCGCTCACACAGCTCATCAGCACACACAGTGAGAGAGAGAGAGAGAGAGACCTGTTTGAACTCTAAATGATACAAAAACAGACAGTCATAAATAGACAGGGGTGCTTGCCTATATAATACTGGCCCTGTTCCCTCACTTTAGCTCCATTAGGTCAAATGCCAAACTAGTATGTCTGTTTCTGTATATATATATATATATATATATATGTGTGTGTGTGTGTGTGTGTGTGTGCAGAGTAGATTTATAAAGAGAACCACTGTTTCCACTATTGCACACTCCTCTCTCCAGATATTACTCACACAATCTTTCAGGCCAAAGCAGCATGTACCTAGGGAAGTAGCTCATGCTCACTTCTTGACCCTGCTGCCAGTGAGAGGAGGAACAACCAACCGTTTCTCTGCGAGCAGCTGTCTGCAGCCTCAGCACGCTGGAGGTGTTCTATCAGTATTACCTTCTGTGTGAAACCCATCTAACAGCTGCTGTAAAATCCCAATAAGCACTGGTTTCAGAGCACGTGCAATCATTTTGAAAAGGTTTCCCCACTAACCAGAACTGAAAAGGCTGAAAATAGCTCTGTGCACGCCATCCTTGGCCTTTTCACCTGCACTTATTTAAGATGTTTGCTGCCAACCGTCGTGTGACCTCCTCAAGCTGCATGTCGTTCCTCCAGCCTCTCATCTTCTTTTGCAGCCCTGGGTCTTATTGTTTGTTATGTTTTTAATTGTGTCATGCACATGAAAGTACCCAGCAAACAATGACTTATAAGATACCAGAAACTAGGGCTGCACAATTAATCGAAATATTATTAATATTGCAATAAGTACAATATGCAAATTACAAGAGCAATGTTTTAATAAAGGTAAACAAAACAGCATTATACTGAAGTACTGTAGCGCTGCAGAGGTGCCCTGGTCTACAAAAAGGTTTGGTACAGACTCCAACAGATGTTGGTAGTCAGATGAGAGAAAAAAAAAAAAAAAGATCATTCCCATATAATTGTGAATTGCAATATCTGTGAAAATAATCGTAATATGATGTTTTTACCATATCATGCAGCCCTACGAAAAACACAGTTATATACTAATTATTATATTTCAAACAATGAACTTGGTTTTCTGCTCCATGCCTCCATGACATAACGTCACCCACAAAAGGGTCCCCCTCCTTAAACACAACTCATTCTTTTAGAAACATCAACAAAAGTAACTTATCAGAAATAAAGGACACGTTACTACAAGAGGCTTAAATAACCCATGATGAAACATTAAATGCATCTTCAGTCTCACATAAATCAAATAAGAGAAATAACAGGATGACAGAAATAACAAATTAAAACAATAAATTACTTTCAGAAATTTTTAACTCAATTTATTATACAGATATTATTGAGTATTTATTAGATGTTTGTTCACTATTTTCATATTTTGTGTATTGTAAGACTTTCACCAAGGTTACTAGTTAGATCACCTTTATAAAGAGTATACAAAATGTGATTTATCAGTTAGAAAGGAAGTCGGCTGAGTTAAGAGTGAAACAAAAGAGGCTTTTGACCGTATAACATGTAAGAATGAGACAGACTGGATATTTTTAAATGTTATTTTCTTAAAATAAGCTCAGAGGGACTTTTCCGATTGAATGATTGAGTGTATATTGAGAATGTTAACAAATCGCCATTTCTGCCTTTCCTTAAATGAGTCAGAAATTCTACCTGACAAGCACCCTGGGTTTTATATACTGTATATATATATATATATATATGTACTGTATAAAGTCTGTTCACAATAAAACTGAACCCACGCCCATTGCCCTGCTTTAAATCTGTTCATAAAGTCTACATACTGTACTACAGAGGCAAGCCTATTAGCATGAAGCCAGTAAAATGACAGTGTGCCACAGCACACAGTCAGAGGTGTCATTTATCACAATGTACTTCCCTGCTCATTTACAGCCAATAAATGTCCTCCAGTGGAGCCGAGCTGTTTTCTATTCATTTGACTTTCAGCTTGAGGAGCTGATGGGACAGTTCTGCCCAATAAAATCTTTTCAAATGTCAATAGTCTGATTTTCCTTTTATGTGAGAGGCACTGATGGAGAAAGGGAGGAGGAGGAGAAAGTGTTTGAAACAGGTAGGAGAGAAAGCGGAAGGCGGTTAAGTGAAACACAGGATGTGTGAGAGGTGTGTAAATGTAATGCAAGCAGAGAGAGGAAGAAGAAGAGGGGGGAGGAGGGGGATGTGAGAGATAAAGTGTGAGGCAGTTTAAACAAATAGCAGACGATCAGATGTAGGAAGGAAATTCATTTTTTAAAAAAGAAGCTGTGATTGGAAACAAAATGAGACCAGTAGGAAACTGAAACATGGCCTGACTGAAGGTGGGCTGATCTCAAGGAGGGTTGAAAGGAAACACACAAGAGGAACTGAAGTGCTGACACTCAACTGTCTCTGTAGGTTCAACAAGCAGAAACAAAGCAGATTTCACACTGTAGACTCACTTCAGCTCTGTCTGCTTTAATCTCTGTTCAAAATCACCACAGGTGACTGGCAGCAGGTGAGACTGGTTTGTGTGTGTGTGTGTGTGTGTGTGTGTGTGTGTGTGTGTGTGTGTGAGGGGTCGTGGTGGTACAGTAAACCATTGACAATCTAGCACATATTAATCAAATTGGAAAAACAAGTCAAGACGTGCAAACAAACGAAAAAAAGACACTACCTACCAGGCTCAGCTGATCCCCAGTGAATGAGCAGCAGCGCAAAAAGGGCAGCCCAGAGTTTGGTCTCCATCATCTCTGTCTTCCGGATACACAGTAAGAAAATAAACCAAAACAAACGTCGTCCCGCTTCGTCTCGTTTCAGCTGGACTCTCCCTTTTTCTCTCTCGTTCGCCACTCGACCCTCAGACTCTTTAACTAAGAGAAATCCCAGGCAGCTGTACTGTACTACTGCAGACAGCAGCTCCGCCAGTGTGTGTGCGTGGCTGGAGGGACTGAAGGAGGAGTGTGTGCGTCTCTCTCTCTCTCTCTCTCTCTCTCTCTCTCTCTCTCTCTCTCTGTGTGTGTCTGTCTCTCTCTCTCTCTCTCTCTCCAGAAACAGTGCCACGTGTTCTCTGTTCAAAATAGTCAGTGGCTCTGACTCGGTGCCATGAGTTAGTAGAGAGACTGACACCTACCCACCAAGCACATCTATCACAACAACAGGAAACAACACAAACTACAGGCAGCACAAATCACCACAGGCGTTCAATCAACTCCTCTGACAGGTGCAAGAAACTACTTAACATTACATGTAGGATCATTTGAAATATTTTAAGCATCTTATAGGCTTCAGAAAAACTGCGCAAAATGAACAGTTTTTCTCAAGGTGTTCTTGTTATTTTGTCCACCCTTTCCACTTTGTCGTGACTGTAGCTTAGAGCCTGTTAGTCTGTTTATTTGTTGATTCACTTATTCATTCTGCAATATTACAAGTACTCGTATAATAAATAATACAATAAATAAATAAAACGTAGGGTTTTATGAGCCTCTTACATCTATTATATATATATTAGTAATATGTTACTGTTATTATATAACATATAATCAAATGATTACAATATTTATTCTTCTTAATTTCTGGGAATCATATATCATCATCGTCATCATATAGCCTAAAATAATAATGATTAGTATGTTAATAAATGAGTCAGTAGTTTACATCCGGGAAGACACGGAGTCTTTGTCACGCTGAGGATTTTATTAGTCAACAGTTAAAATTAGAAACATATTCTTTCACAGTATTTGACTTGATCCGGAAGCTGAAACTGTATCAGCCTCACTTTTTTTTTGCATGACTGGCGCTTTTCTACAGGGCGTTACACTGGAGCGTGATGTGTTCAGGGACCCACGTGGGGGCGCTGTTGCTCTACGGCTGATTGTCCTCTTAAAGCACGTGGTTTGGGGTGAGGAGTGCAAGAACTATACGGCTGTTGCAATACTGCTCTGGATGATGTAGTTTCAGCCAGATGACACTGTTAGACCACACTTCGCCTTTCAGCCGCCCAGAATGATTTCATTCACCTCCACTGAGCTCCTGTGAAGATGAGATCAGACATTAAAATGTATCTGGAACTGAATTATCTTTGTCACATGTTCCACGTTGCCTGGTGGTCGCTGTAAATTAAATATTTTAAATAATATATAGCAGACTGTTGACCTTTGCATCTTTCTTTATGGTACCAGGGTCCTTCACTCTCATTGGAAGGGTCGTTGTCTAAAATAATAGTATCACATTTTCTCTCTAGTTGAGGGGGTCACATTTATCTAAGAGTTATAATACTCCAAATCTCAAGAAAGCCTCCCACATACTTCTGTATGAGCAGATCATTTGAGAGCAGATGCGTTTTATTCAATATCTCATCAGTGTATTACCAGGTGTTCTTAGTTTTGAGAGTTTGCCATGGGGGTAATCAATATGTGGTTGCCTTTATTTGTATGTGCAGTTATTTTCTAATCATTTCTGACACTGTCATTGTCTAGAGATCTACTTATGCTTTTAGCTTTATGTTGAGCTGATCGTCTTTTTCTGTATGTTATCATTTTATATAATATCCTATATATGGGGATGTGTGAATATATACATGTACTGTATTCTCCATGTATTGAGACTGTGTCTTCATAATGTGACGATGACATTTCATTGGATGGGGGGGAAATGCCGCATTCAAATGTTGTTCATATACGACTTCTGAAGAGCTTTTGGTCGCAAAAATTGACAGAAACGAAACGGAAACAGCAGTTCTTTAAATAATTTTACACGAAGGTAACGAAAACCGAAAATGACTAATAATTAAAATAACTAGTATTAATACTAAGTACTAATACCTTACAGTACTGCTGAATTGTGCAATTGTTTCAGCGTTTGTGCATTCTCCGCCTTTGATACTGACGGGGGGGATGTAACTAAATCGCTGTTTTATTTACCTTGTTATTGGGTGGCCGTGATTGCGATATTTCCCACAGTGCTTGAAAGTAGCAAAAAGCTCCCGGTGACGGAGCAGAGGCAGAACAGCGGCAGGGAGCTGCGAGCATCGTCTCTTACCGACGCAGGACAGAAAGGTGTGACAATATCGGTCCTTTAGACAGGATATAGATAACATACGGAGACGGCATTGTTAAGATAATGCTCTGAGACGCTTTGAAATGATTGTACATCTGTCTCGCTCGGTCACATTTGGCACCAGGGCAACGTCAAGTTGCATCCATTGCTACATTAGCTAGTTTGGCGTTAGCATAGTGGCGCTAGCCGTTGCTATAGTATTTTACTATAGAATAGGTTAGCGTCAGCTAGCTTGCTTTTAAGTTAAGAGAGCTAACGTTAGCTTGCCGGTTAGCCTCTCGTGTCATCTTTATGTTTAAATGTATGGTGCCGTCTAAGTTACATCTTCAGATTGCTACTGTGGGAAGAGTACTGTCTGTAAAGGGACGTTTAACGGTGGCTGTCAGCTCCTGAATGTGTTGCTCCTCTTTGATCATTTGACAGCTCCGTGTCAGCGGAGATATGGAGACGCCGGGGAGGATAGTAGCCACACCGGACGCCTTGGACTTCACGGTGGAAAACGTAGAGAAGGTGAGTTTTGGGACCAGTCAGTCTGTGTCAGCAACCCACCAGCTTATACAGCACCGGGGGGGTTGTGTACTAAAGACAAGTGGTCATGTTTCAAGTGAGACAGCCAGCTTGAGAGGGAGAGCAGAAGAGCCTTATCTGCCTTGTAGCCACATAATATTAGCAATTTGTACAGTACTGATATCGTCTGGAGAGATGATGTTGCTGTGTTTGCATACAGGAGTTAATATGCCCTCATGTCTTTAAATTAGGCTTGACTGAATGTTTAGAAAATATGATCAGATGAGAGCAAAATAACAGGTTGTAGCCCGCCAATTCTTTATCATCTCTGTCACTGTAAAATGCTTGTCTGGGTCTTGTTTTTGTCTGTTTGGCTATATTGTGTGTGTGTGTGTGTGTGTGTGTGTGTGTGTGTGTGTGTATGTATGTATGTATGTGCTTGCTTGCTTGCTTGTCAGTGCTGCCTGTGGCTGCCAGGTTGCTGTGATGAATCTCCTTGCTGGGTGGCCACTGACTCGGACAGGAGGGGATGGGTGGGGAGACAATGGGGAGGAGGGAGAGAGGGAGAAAGGTGCTCCTGTGGAAGAGTAGAGTTGATGTGATGAGATGGATTGGGGGATGAGGGGAGGGTGGGACAGGGTCGATGTCTGTGACAGTGCCAGTAAGAGGAGGGGGTGAGAGGAGGTTGGCGATGCGACAGAAATGATTAGAGGCAGGTTTGAGAGAGAGAAGCACATTCCTGTGGGGGAAATGGCTTTGGCCTGATACTGTGCTTTCTGGTGGTGTAATAAAGGAGGAAGAAGAATGATAAACAGTGAGCAAGGTCCTGTGTCCCTGTGGGTAATCTCCTTGTTCATTTATTCATGTCTACAGGTAAAGAAAGTGGTGGTCTGTTATTATTTTGGGGTGGCCTATGCCTGAAGAAATTGCTAAATATGTCCTGTCAATGTTCACTTGAACTAAAATCAGGGAAAACACTAGCACATATTGTATGCTTACCTAAGTAAATGTATAATTAATGAAACTGGGAGGGTCATAAATCATTTGATATGACGTATTAGGTTAATGTTTTAGTGAACTGATACACAACCTCGTAGATTTGAATGAATGTTTCTTGAATCAAGCTATTTTTCATCTAGTCAAGTGTCTCATCTCCAGTGGAAGTGAAACCTCGCTTGCCAAAATACCCCAAGCAAGCTAAAATAGTGCATGATATTCATCAAAAAAGTAATCAGAGCCACCTGTCAGATATATATTCGGCATTCTGTGATTCATTTGAGTATCTGAAACAGGAGATGGGTGCAGTGGTTAAATGTCATTAATTCAGTAAACAATTTTAAGTTAGGACGTGTTTAGGAATGTTATCTGTAATGTCATTGTTGCTGTGTATGTTTATACACTGAACTCTGACCTTTTAAACTTCAAGCTTGTCCTCTTTTTAAGAGACTGGGAAGCTACTAAAATATCATGATAAAATGTCACAATATTTTATTCCAATTTCTTTCATTTTTTTCCCCCGTCTGTACAGTTTGAGGTGCGTTTTTAGATCCAGTTAAATCATTCAGTCTTCTTCGAGTGGTACAGCGCCATCAGTAATCTCATTAGCCGATGAAACATGACAAAGAACATCTGAAATGTCTCATGAAGGCTATGAGCACTTTTGTAATAACACCACAGTTTAATTTCAAAATTGATGAGATGTTGTTCTTGTAACACTCAATTATATTTAGAAAGTATATTTAGAGAATTTGAGTGAAATATTTTTTTTCCTTCCCTATTTTTATTCTTTCTAGATAATTTGGCTAGAAAGACATATTTATACTTAATTAGTTATGGAAACTGCACAATGCTATTCATTCACTGGAGGGGGGGAGACGATAGGGTTCTTTAGAATCTGTGTGTGCACCTAAAAGCATCATATAAGTATCTGTGTAAGGGCATCAGCTTAATGCCTTTAGAAGAATCTCAGATGTCAGATGTTGCTTTTACTGCTGGCAATTTTATTATCCTCTCTGCCAGTCACAACACTGGCAACTGTAAAAATACACACCACCATCAGACACATTGTAGTGTTTGTCAGTAGAGGGTCAAATGGTATTTCCCATAAGGTGATGAGAGCAAAACCAGTTGTTAAAAGAGAAGAAATAAAAAGGAGCAGCAGCGCAGACTTGTCATTGTTGTACAGTGGGACGGTGGGGAGTGTGTGCTTGTTGTATACATGGTGGTGGAGATGATGGTTCCTGGCCCAGCATTTGTATGTGTCCAATAGAAAGCTCTTTGTTCAGTCTTGGGTCTATGAAACAAAGTACCACATTGTCAGTATCTTTGTGTGTGTATAATGAATAGGTACATATACTGCATTACATTTCCGCCCCACTATAATTAGTCTCGTCTAGAATCACAGTCTACGAAGCAAGTGGATTTTATAGGAAATTCAGAGCTCTACATTTGCTGTGAAACAGTATTGTCATTTTGCATTTCTCCCGAGAGACAAACAGCTACTGTAACACCAGAAAGAAGCACAGCACAGTACTGGGTCAGTGTGGCTGTCAAGGTCCATTCAGTAGTGCGCAGCTCCCAGACTCTTGGCTCTCGGATTGTGATGCACCTCTGCCTTTAGGAAACTGTGCTCATGTAAAGTTTTGATGTATGTGACAGCAAGTGCAGTCTTCTTATTAGAATGGTTTTAGGGCATTTAAAGGCATACTATGCAGTTTTCCGGTTTTGTCAAACAGCTACCCCTAGAGTCGCTGCGGAGTACTTGTATTTAACGTTAACTGTCGTAAATACCACTCACCAGAGCCGTCTCTATATACGGCTCTGCATCTCTTCACCCACGGCCTGATCCCCTCCCCCCTGTATACTGGTACATGTTCAGTAGGATGGAAGCGTCGTACATCGAACAGGCAAAGATAGACTCCGAAGATGTCTACTGACCAGGTAACGTCTGAGTGAATGCCTGCTAGTGTTTTCCATTGAGGCTGCTTGTTATGTTGCTGATGTATGAGACGTCGCGACGTAAAGCAATTTGTGATTCTCGCGAGATTTGGCGGGACGCCACCTTTCAGACTTGCATTGCTGGTTCTGCCAACGGCATCCCTCTCCTGCTTTGCTATCGGGATGATTCGCTATACTGCGAGTTCATTTACCATCGAAATGACTTCGAAGCTGTTCTATTAAGGTAAAAATTTTGCATAGTGTGCCTTTAAAAGCAGAGGAGATGATTCAGCCTGCCAGCTAACGTATTACAGAACATAGAGGGGGAATTTGACGCTGAGGAATGACGTGTTTTGTATTGAGTAGTTTTGTTGTGGCTGGAGAGGCTATTTCAGAGTGAGAAGAGGCTTTGTGATGAGTATTACCATTCAGCTAGTGACAGATATATATATATGGGTTCAAGGTGGAATACGTGTCTTGTAGGTTACATGAGACACATATGTCCTAGTGCAAGCATTTTTAGTTTTATTTCTTATGCTTATGGTATGATATATACATTGATTCAGTGACTGTAGGTGATCCATATTATGTGGTGGAAAAGGAAATTGTTAATGTAAACCTTTCCATGGTGAGACACTTGGTGCAAGGGTTTGTTTGCTATTCATGTGCTGAGATTTTATCACTATTGGCAACGTGGTATTCTTAATTTCTGTCTTGGCTGTGTGCTGTCAACAACCACCCGCGCACACTCTCATACAAACTATTCTTCATTGTTCCCTCATTAATCATCATTCCTCTGCATATCTTTGGTTCTCACAATTATAGAGCAGTGTCATGATGGGTCAGTGGTGTGATAAAGCCTTCTGCAGCACAGCATCAACACTGCCTCTCCCATCACTGTGATGAATTTGAGTGTGACGCTCGAGGGGACAGATGGCTTGAAAACACACTGAACCTATGGCAGGGAGATGCCATTACCTACTGTGTGTGAACACACTGTGCAAAGACATGTCCTGTGTGTGTGTGTGTGTGTGTGTGTGTAGGCTTGTGCACTTATGCTTCATGAGCATGTAGGGAACAAGAGATTACAAAAACATAAAGGCTGTCCTATTTGAGACCTATCTGCTTATCTTTATCTACATTTCCTGCATTGCATTTGCTAATAATTTTAGAATAGAATAGAAGTCTTTTTTTACGGACAATGGCTCCTGCTTCTTTGATTTGCTACATATTTGTCCCTGATTTTTTGTATCATTGTAGTAGAAGTATTGTAGTGTTCTTTGTTAACGCAGATCAAAACCTACGCTATAGTTATTCTCCAGGGCTCGGTAGTGAGCACACAGGAGTATACCAGCTACAGTAAATCTGTGGTTATGTGTCAGAGCAGATGGTGAAACTGTTTGACTCTGCCATGTTTTTTCACTTGCATCCCTCTTCCCTTCCTCCTGTTGGAAAGTGACTGTAGAGGAGGCTAATGACCTTTGACAGTGTCTGCCAAGAGGACGCCATCCTCAGGTGAAGCCAGGTGGTTCAGGTGTGTTGCCACCATCTGTGGATGCAATTAGTTGCTTCAGTTGCATTAGTTGCTTCAGCAGCAAGTGAACGCTACTGTTTCTAGGGATGTGCATTTTATGCTTTCTTTTTAAAGAACCAATTAATAATGTCCAATTGCAGTTAGTTAGTCAAACGAACTGCTGCGCGTCAGGTGTGATTTCTAGGAGGAGACAGGCGGTGGTTCTTTGTGAGAAGATTAAAGCAGCAAAATGAACAGACGGTTTTGTGTCTCGTGCTTTGATATTAAAACCTAGGCAGGACAGACACGGCGCTGTTTGGGATTGGATAAGGAGAGGTCTGCGATCACACAGTGGTCTGCGGTAATGATCCGCTGCTGCTTTGAACTCTGATATCACGTCCTCGTTTACAGAAAGGGTAAAAAAAGAGCTGACTAACAAAAAACATCCTAATGCTAATGCTTTTCTGGAATGAAGGCATGATAATGATCCATAGAAGGAACCTGCCAAGTCGCATACACAGTAACACCTTCATATTTCATCAGCTCTGTCATGCAGCTGTGTTTATATTCATGTGTTGAAATTTAAAAAAAAAAGGGCTCATCATAGCCTATTTTTGTACTTGCAGTGGTTTTCATTCAGACTGCTTTGAAAGGGCAGAGATTCTCATAAAAAGCTAAACATGGCATGTTAGTGGAGTACAGAGACCTACCAGCTAAGAAAAAGGGAAATTCGCACATACTGTACCTGCACCTATAGCCATCTCTCACACATGTACAAAGGTCACCTGACCCTTTGAGCTCATTAACACCCAGCCAGCCGTGTTCAGAGTCTCGTACAGTAAGGGGAGACAGATAATTGTGTTGCAGGATGGCAGACAGGAGAGAACACCACCTGAGACTCTGCTTCCAGTAGGCATTGACTTGGTATTGATGTTCCTCTCTACAGCTGCAATAGCACCATCGTACTGTGTGACCCGTACTGGTTCCTTTACAGAATTATTCATCCTCCCTTATTTGACAGCCTAAACTTCTCTTGAACTTCTTCTAGAGGAAGACTGAGATGATGATAGAGAGTTGAGGGATGGAATGAAACTGGGTGGACACTTTAGGCAAATACAGAGAGAGAAATGAAAAGAAAGAAAGCGAAGAGAATGACTGCTGGTGGATGAATTGATGTGAGCAGGCTTCAGGGGTAAAGACAAGGATCAGAAGCTTGCTGGATATATTTTTTTCCCCTGTATTGCTTGTCAGACACTTAGTGCTGGCTGCCAGCGGTTTTAGTTCAGTGAGCATGTACGTGTGTGTGTGTGTGTGTGTGTGTGTGTGTGTGTGTGTGTGTGTGTGTGTGTGTGTGTGTGTGTGTGTGTGTGTGTCTGTGTGTGTCTGTGTGTGTGTGTGTGTGTGTGTGTGTGTGTGTGTGTGTTTTGTGTGAGACAGAGAGAGAGGAAAAAAAAAAACAGGCATTTTTGCTAGTGCCTAAACCTCTCTGCTGGCACTGCCGGGATTAGAGGTGTCTGTTTAATTAATGCTCCCCTTTTCACTTCTTTTATTTCCCTCTCTCACACTCATCCTTTATCTCCTTTCTCTTTGGCTTGCTCCTTCTTGTTCTCCCTGCACTCAAGTACTCAAATTACTCAGAGCTGTACTTCAGAGAGCGCTGTTTTCAGGTCATTGCTTTCTCCGTTGTTCAGGTTTTCGAGGTAAACTGTCTTCTATGTGTGTTTGTGAGTGATAAAAAATGCTCTTTTCTCAAGGTAACCAACTCTTTCCTCCAAACAAGAGCTCAAATAAGTTGCATTTGTCTTCTCTGAGCTGGTCTGTCTGACATGCACTATTGGTAATGTGTGGGGTGTAGTTGGAAACATTTCTCAAATGGACTTTGTACAAATCCCCTCATGACTCAACATTCATCCACAGATTGTATGAATTCTTCTGACCTTTCTCCCATGTTATTCTTTTCCTCCTCCTTTATTTCCAGGCCCTCCACCAGTTGTACTATGATCCCAATATAGAAAACAAGAATCTGGCCCAGAAATGGCTAATGCAGGCTCAGGTCTCGCCTCAAGCCTGGCAGTTCTGCTGGGCCCTACTCAGCCCAGATAAGGTACAGTATACACACAAACATTCACATGGGGGCGCACACACACACACACACACACACACACACACACAAAATGGAAAAACATCCATGCATCCATCTTATTTTGTTTCACAGGTGCCAGAGATTCAGTACTTTGGTGCTAGCGCACTTCATACCAAGATCTCTCGCTACTGGTCGGACATCCCCACAGACCAGTACGAGTCTCTGAAGACCCAGCTGTTCTCCCAGATTGCCTGCTTCTCTTCCGGCTCCAAGATGGTGCTCACCCGGCTATGTGTGGCCCTGGCCTCTCTGGCGCTCAACACAATGCCCGAGGCCTGGCCTGGTGCAGTGGCAGAGATGGTACGGGTGTTCCAAGAGGAGGGGGGCGGGGTGGATGGGCGGGCACGCTGCCTGGCATTGCTAGAGCTGCTGACCGTCCTGCCCGAGGAGTTCCAGACCAGCCGCCTGCCGCAGTACCGAAAAGGACAGGTACGTCTGCAGATGCTGCCTTCTCCCACCGCTGGAGGTGGTGATGGCCACCTGTCCCAATATTCACAGGGTTTCTTTGGATTAATTTGTTCATCAATAGCTATCAAACCTTAGTACTTATATATAGTATAGTGTATATATAGTACATACCTCTCTAGCACAGTTAGACAAATTGTCAAGTACCTAAAGCTGGCAGTACATGCTTGGTCAGATTACTTATTCTTTAATGAAATATTTCAGATACATAATCTAAATCATAATTTAACTCATATTAGACTATTTAATGCTAGGTATCAGGAAAGCATCTTATTGCTGTCAGTGCCAAAAAATGGGTATCTTATTGCCACCAATGTAGAAAGACTTAAAAACAAGCTTTCTGATTAGGCAAAGGAACATATTACACATGAGTGATACACTAGAATTCTAACCCTCTTTATCATCCTTACTCTAGGTTCGGGGTGCCCTAGGCCGGGAGTGGGGGTCAGTGTGTCCCTTACTGCAGCAACTGCTGCGAAGGACGGACAGCCCCGGGGCGGTGAAGGCTCGCGTGCTTCGCTGCCTGTCATCCTGGGTGCTGCTGGATGTACCCCTCAGCGAGAGCGAAAGCCTGGTGCACGACTGCTTCAGCGCCCTGCCCGACCCAGAGCTCTTCGACACAGCGGTAGAGGCAATAGTCAACGCCATCTCACAGCCTGACTCCCAAAGGTGTGTACAAATGTTTGCCAGTGTGTGCACTCACACTGGCAGGCCAACCCCCAAGAAAAGGCTGAAAAATGAAATAACGATCCTACATGGCATGAAAGCTTGTCATGGTTTTGACTGGAGAAATTACACCAGAGCAAAAATGGAATATGGAGATATTTCCAGATATATGATCTAAAGAGGGAGTAAAGAAGAGAAGGGGCGAAAAGTGAGAGGCAGAACAGAATAAAAAAAGATGCGTTTGCCAAGGGCAGGAAACATACAGGGTAGGCACTGTAAGGGCATCGGGAAGGGATGGAGAAAAGGAGGGAGGGATTGATACAGGGCAAGTTGACAGCCAGGGGGAGGAGAGCGGCATTTCTCGGTTGGCTGGCGTTGCTATGGTTACAGAGCTGGGTAGAGATGTCATCATGCCCTGGTTGATTCAGACATGGCAGGCACCCATTACCCCTCCCCTAGAGAAAGGGAGAGAGAGAGAGAGAGAGGGTGGGGGTGACGGAACGAGGCAAAGAGAAGAAAGGGTACTAAGAGAAGGAGGAGGGCAGGGGAAGGTGTGAAAGTGTGCAAGAATAAAAGACTTCATCCTCCATACCTCTGCACTTCTTCTCACACAAGAGGGTCTCATATCTGTGAAGTTGCTGCTGACAAGTCAGTTTAAACACACTCACATTATGCCAAGCAGATGGTTGGAGGGAGGGGAGGGGAGACGATTAATGCTAGTGGAGTTACAGGTAGAACAGCCTCAGCAAGTGTTGCTGGGCTCCTTTTAGGATAGAGTACATTAATCAGAGATGGGATTCTTCAGATTGTCTTTTCTGGATTTCAGTTGTTTTCATAATTGTCCTTTTTTTTTAAATTCTATTTCCTTTTCCCTCTTTCTCTCGTTTCATGTCACACTGATCACAGCCCTGCATGTTTGCCAGTTTGTCAGGTCCTCCCATAAGTCTTGACTCATTAGTAGCGTCTCTGGAGACACATTTGGCCTCTATTTTTGTCAGAGCAGTGTGCGATTTATAGGTTTACATTTGACTGCCTATCTTGTGTTTATGTCTGCGTCTGTGAGAGAGGAGGGAAAGATATTAATCTATTAGAAAACCTGGTATTAGCTCCACCCTCTCTAGGAAGTCATACCCCACCTTTTTTCCATCTGTAGATTCTGCCGTCTTTGTTCATCTATTTTATCATTTCTCTGCCTCTTGTTTCTTTGTGCTCTTCCTTTCCCCTTTCTCTCCTCTCACTATCAGTACTAAGCCCTCCTCCCTGTCTCTTGTTCTCTCCCTCTGTTTAAACACATTACAGTCAACTCATTTGGGGGGATGCTATTGGTCCAGCTGCATCCTGTTGCCAGGCAACCCATTTCCCCTGTCTCGGAGTGTTGCAGTAATTGCAGAGGGGATCAGAGGTGGGGGATGGGGGGGAGGTGGTGGAGGGAGAGAATAAAGGAGGAGTCAGGAAGGAGGCAGAAAGTGTATAACAGCAGGGCAGGGAGCGAAGCAGGAAAGGACAGGCAACCATGAGTTAGAGGAGAGGAGACTGCAGCAGACAGTCTCAGAGAAGTCTCCAGAATGGCATCTTTTATGAGGGAAATAGGGAAACATACAAATCCATTCTGCCTTTTTAATCGTATCACATACACACCAAGTCTCTTTTCCTAAGCTAAGAGTGCATGACCTGCATTTGCAAAGCACCTTGTTAAAAATGAATGATCTTCTGAGTACATGAGTGCAATCTGCCACGCACATTTACACACACAAATACACACACAGTCACACAAGTAAATTGCAGTCGGCCCCTACGCTGCTCCCACGGGGGTTACTCAGGCAGCCGAACACAGAAGATGTAGGCCAATACACACACACAGGTACGGGTTTATTAGATGGAGGCCAGATTCATACACAACACGTCTCAGCAGGGTGGAGCTGTCTTCTAAGAAGGCTGAGTCAGTGTAGGCTGCTGAGCTGGGGACTTAGCTTTATAATGCTACGCAGAACCATTATCTGGCTCCAAGGATCCTAAGGGGGCATGAGGGAAATTTAGAATAATAAATGCTTCCCAGAACCGAGGTAAGACATGCATTTAACCTGCAGAGCAGAGGATGCATATCAATGTAATTTTTTCTGGGCACTTTTTTGTTTGGCTTGTATGGTTCTATAAGGAATTACATTAATGCTGAAACACTAAGTCAATTAAGTGATTATTGGAAAGACAGAAAATTAATTGCCAATAGTTTTATTAATCAAATAAAAAATGCCAAACATTCTCTGGTTCTAGCTTCTTAATGCGAGGATTTGCGACTTTGCTGTGGCACTGTAAATTGACCCTTCCTAAGTCCCGCCCCCTCCTGCTCTGTGCGTAAATTAAAGTTAAGCTAACCTCGGTCAGAATCTCCATCAACTTTCTTCTTTCCTGTACTCAGATATGTCATGTGCTAGGTGACATATCTATCTATCTATATATATAGTAACTAATGATTGATGTAGATTAGCTAGTTATTAGTCTTTTGCATTTCTTAACTGAAGGTGTCGCTTTTATCTTTTAACCATCTTCTAAATATGGGGTGGGGCTTAGGAAGGGTCTCGGGATCTGGTTGGACAAAATAAGTAATTTGAAGATGTCTCTTTGGCTTCTGAGAACTTTTTTGAGATTGATCTTTTGTACAATTTTGGGGTATTTTATTGGGTAAATGATTAGTTGAAAAAACAAACAAACAGATGAATTGATAATGGAAAAGGTTTTTATTCCTTCCTTGTTGAAGTCACACAACCTTGCTGTGTCATTGATGAATATTCATCGATCTGGACACATGTCCTTATTGATGTTTTCTTGAAAGATGAAGCACCTCCTGCATACCACAAACCCCCCTGGGACTAACACACGTGATATGGTTCACATCTATAGCATTTACACATGCACATAATATCCTCAGTGGCATTCACACGCACACACGCTTGCCCTTTATCTCCGAATGTCACCCCTTCACTTGCTGTCATTAAGGATGACAGGAGGATGTTGTCTGATGTTGCCATATGACCAGATTTGAGCCTGTGTTGCAGAGTGTGTTTAAGCATGTGTGTCCCCATTAGTGTGTGTGTGTGTCTGTGTGTGTGTCAGCACATGTGTGTGTTTTAGCCGGAGTGAGGGAATTATAGATGGCTGAGACAGCAGGAAGAAGACAGAATAATAACTGACAGCAGCAGCGCAGCTCTGAGCAGAAGCTTTGAATAGATTTCTGGTTCCCTGGTAGATGTGTGGGTTTTTTAGGGTGGGTGTGCTGGATCAGAGGTTGGACTGACTTGAACTAAAATTTGATTTGAAACAAACACTTGTCTTGAGAAGGAGCAATAAATATATCAACTTAGCTCTGAGCGATGTGAGTCAGTTATATATTCACTAGTGGAGGCTCCCTGGTTGTACATGCCATGTTTTTCTCACTTGTACAGCACTGTGTTGGTTTTAAACTCCTTTCCTTTAAATTAACTGGACTCCTAACTGTCAATTCTCATCTTTTTTTCTGTCTGTGTTTGTATGTCCATGGATTGTAGATATGTGAACACTTTGCTGAAACTGGTTCCTCAAGTGCTGGCTCTCCAGGAGCAGCTCAGAGAGGCTGTTCAGAATGGAGACATGGAGACCTGCCATGGTATCTGCCGTATCGCCGTTACACTGGGAGAAAACCACTCCAGGTGTGTGTGTGTGTGTGTGTGTGTGTGTGTGTGTGTGTGTGTGCGTGTGCGTGTGTGTGTGTGTGTACGTCTGTATCTATCTGTGTGTGTGTGTGTGTGTGTGTGTGTGTGTGTGTGTGCGTCTGTATCAGTGTGAAGATTTTATAGGACATTTATCTTTTAATTAAAATGTGCTATTGAGGCAACACATATAAAATGTGTTTTGACCAATCAACAATAACATCTTGGCCACTTCCTTTCCTGACATATATAGTATGACATACACAAGTAGTCTGCTTGGAACAATAATGTGTTTTTTTTACACAAAAAGTATAATTTCCCCCTTAAAATCCTTAAAGAGGCATCTACCTCTTCTACCTGATTCAAAATACCAGATTCTATGAAAATGCACAAATACTTGTATAAGTTGCATACTGGACCAGGATGGACATTCACTGTATTTTTGATGTCACAAATCGTACTTGAAGGCCCTTTAAATCAGATTTTCAATGAGCACAGAGAAACTTTCCCCTTTCAGCAGATGAATGTGAAGACATCCTTCTAGGGTCAAACTCTGCACAGTAAAGCTCAAACATCAAACTGTATGAGCAAGAAGAACATTAATTAATAAATTAACATGAACTTGCACTAAAACAAATGATGCAATATGTCCAGTGTCTCACTATGCAGTCTCCACTTACACCATGCCTGGTTTTCATGTGTTGCTGGCTCTCCTGATTGAATGACACAAAGAGAGAAAGTTGCTACTTTATCTCTGTACCAACTGCACTGGACAGCTGCCAAATTATGCTTTTTTTCTCTCTATCTCTCTCTCTCTCTCCTCCACCCACCTCTCTGTCTAGGACTCTGTTGGAGCAGGTGGATCACTGGCAGAGCTTTCTGGCTTTAGTCAATATGATCATGTTTTGTACAGGTATCCCCGGCCACTACCCGGTCAATGAGACCACCAGCTCGCTCACACTCACCTTCTGGTATACACTACAAGTAAGGAATGTTAAAATCTGACCCTATCCTATACTGCACTGTTGTATTTACTGCTACTTCTGTGATAGTTTTACAAATGAAGGGTAGTGTATATTTTCCAACTGGCATGATTTTCCCTATAACCTTTTCTAGGCACGTAAAGTCAGTCCACAAAATAACCTTTGCTTATTGTAGTCTGACGAGGCTCGATAGGCACTTGGTTAAACCAGTTATCTTTAAATAGACTGTATAAAAACACTAACTCCCCCTGCACACCCTGATTGAATGGATGTGTTACTCACTTAGGTCTCACTGGTCTTTTGCTACAGTTTTCAAATAATAAAATATGATGGCTTTCCTGGAAACAATTTTCTTTTTGTCATTTACATTATCCAACATAATTGATTTATTGGTTTGTGCAAGCAGGCAATGTGTATTTTCACAATAGATAATTGATAGTGGGGTTGTTCTCTCAGTGATAAATGAATGATAGATGTTGTAAAATATATTTGGGTTCATATCCTGTGTGAGCCGTAACAGATGCTTTTAGTTTGTAAAGTGCATAAATAATTTTATGGTCCAGACCCAAGACTTTTTTTTTTTTCTCCTTACTCCATCCTCAGGATGAAATAATGTCATTTGAGTCGGACAAGCAGGCAGTGTATCTGCAGGTCTACAGGCCAGTGTATTTCCAGCTGGTGGATGTTCTCCTACACAAAGCCCAGTTCCCCTCCGACCAGGAGTACGCATCCTGGTCCTCAGATGAGAAAGAGCAATTCAGGATCTACAGGTATGTGTGAGTGTGTTGTATGCCTGACCCTGCCTCTGACTATTGTACGAGTCTATTTCCACTGTGCACTGTTGTGTGCAAGTATTTCAGTGACAGTCTAAGTGCTTCAGAAATTACCCACTGACAGGATGATTGGTCAGCATATGCGTGTGTTTTACTCTAATACACTGTCACTGGACTGGCAGCTGAGAGGGCAAAACCCATCTGGCAGATAGATTAACAGATAAAGTTTCAAGACTGCGTGCCCCTAAAATGTCTGTTTGTGCATGTCTGTCCTTTAGGGTGGATATCTCCGACACACTCATGTACGTGTATGAGATGCTGGGAGCAGAGCTGCTGAGTAACCTGTATGATAAACTAGGGAGACTGTTGACTAATGCAGAGCAACCCACATCATGGCAGGTGGGTGAGAGATACACGGACGAGCAAAGAGAAAATGTGAACTATTTTCTGTTTCTTTGAGTGTTGTTTAAGTCCTAAAAACGTGTCATACTAGGTTTAATAAACAGTTTTTCAACACAGGTCCACAAGTTTAAAAAATATGTTAACCAGATTTAAACTACTATTTGAATTTGGTTTTCACTTTTTCAATACATGTTTTTTTTTGTTTTGTTTTTTGACATTGCTGAAAAGCCATTTTATCATCAAAGACATGCTCAAAACTTACACTGACTGTATTCTCCTTTTCCAGCACACAGAAGCCTTACTGTATGGCTTCCAGTCCATAGCAGAGACGATAGATGTGAATTACTCTGACGTCATCCCAGGCCTGATAGGACTCATCCCCAGAATCAGCATCAACAATGTCCAACTAGCAGACACAGTGATGTTCACTATAGGTGAGACAAGTTTCATGGGTCGATTTAAATGATCTTGGCACACATTGCTTAAGAGTCATTTATAGATATCACAGGCCCAGCAACATTCATATTGTTTCTCAGTCTGTATCTGAACTGTTTATCTCCCACTAGGTGCTTTGGCTGAATGGTTGGCAGACCACCCAGTGATGCTCAGCAGTGTCTTGCCCTTGGTGCTTCAGGCTTTGGGGAACCCAGACCTTTCTGTTTCTTCTGTCTCTACGCTCAAGAAAATTTGTAGAGAGTGCAAATATGACCTCCCACCCTACGCAACCAACATAGTAGCTGTCTCTCAGGTACGTGTACACATGTATACCTCTTATCTATTATGATGTTCTTTTTTCCACCCAGTTGACGTATCAGAGCCAATAATAATCTGTTTTAACATTTTTCTTCTGCACTCTATCGGCCATGGTGTTGCAGACTTTTTTCCAGAAATAATCCTTTCTCTTTGAAATGACTTCAGTTATTATTATTTTGGAGTTACTTTTTATTGCTAATTTGGGCATGTTTTGCTGTGCTTTCATAAGAATAGAACCATCAACTCTGACTTTGTTTTTTCTCTCAAGGAGGTGCTTATAAAGCAGATCCACAAGGTCAGTGTGTGCTCTCTCACATTCACTTTTTCTTTTTGTCTTGGCACTCAGTTCAGAAGTGACATTTAAATAAGGAATGCTGTTAAAGCATTATGTAACATGTTTGCCTGGAGTCTAATGATAGCATATTTTGTGTTTATGGTCTCTTCATAACACTTTTATGTGACTTCAAGCTCACTGCTTACCTGAACTGAACCTGCCATCATCTTTTCTTGCAGACAAGTCAGTGTATGTGGCTGATGCAGGCTCTCGGCTTCCTGCTTTCCGCTCTCCCTGTGGAAGACATCTTAAGAAACCTTCACTCTCTCATCACCCCTTACATTCAGCAATTGGAGAAGCTAGCGGATGAGACGGTGCGTACACAGACCAACATATAGCAGTACACACACAAAAACACAGGAGAGGCACAGTTGGACTCTGGCCAATAGGAACAGGCCTTGTGTCTGTGTGGTGTCACTGCAGTGGAACATTTCTCTGCGGGACCAGATTGGATTTGACCCTGCACCATGGGCTAGTGACTCACATGGAAATAGCAAAGACACACTTTCTCTCACTCGTGCAAACACGCACACACCACAGCAAGAGAGACGACAAATTGAGAAAATAACAAAATGCCTACAGAGACACATTTACAGTAGGTCATGCTTTAACATGTGCATGCACACAGTCGTGCAAAAGGAATTTCTTTACCCTGTTTAAATGTCATGTCCAATAGAGCCTAGAGTTTCAGAATGTCATGCTGGATGGTGTGAATTTGGAGCAGATATTATCTACAAAAACACACTTTGATATCTACTGTATGTGTAGATAACAAATAAATCCTCCTGATCCCTTGTTCTAAAACCTTGGTTGAGGTGAATAGAGATGTCAGCTTACATGAAGCTTTTCATTTCTCTCTGTGTTTAAGTCCCTGTTTCACCCCTACCCTTCACGCAACACACAGCCACACACTGTCTCACCATCCTCTCTGACTTCCTCCCTCTTTTATTGTTTTCTGTCTAGCTTTTTGATGTATTGGCATTACATCAGACTAGGAAATCAGGTGCTATGTCTGGAGCTGGACAAATAGTGGCACCTAGTGGGGAGACCTTCAGGTTACATTACATCTTGGGGTGAATGACCATGATGTCTGATGGGTCTGACTGCAGACACTGAGGGAGTCACTCTGATTTGGCTTCAAGCATCATGTGCACACTCTGTTCTTACAGGATGACTATTGTACAGTCAAAGCATTAACATTATGAGGGGAGAGAAGAGAGTTGTGGCTGTCTCCATGGAGACAGAGCAATGATTAAATGCTGCCAGTGAAACCCTAATTAATCATTTTACCTACGTGTGTGTGTGTGTGTGTGTGTGTGTGTGTATACACGTGTACGTGTGTGTACATACTGATGCGTGTCGTTTAGAAAGGTGGTATGAGAACGAGCCATTACCTTCTTTCTGTCACATTGCTGAAATACCTCAATACCTGCTCATTGACTTGACTATATTTTTGTATACTAGGGTTTAGGTTTAAAAATATTTGTCTACCAATTATTTTGTTGATTAAGTAGTAATAATTATTTACTCTCTCTACTCTACTCTGTAACCAACTGAAAATCCCACAGTGTTCAATTTAACTGTCTGTCTAACTAATGTAATTTATTCATTAATTTCACAAAAAGCATTGTTATTACATCCATAGGCAATACAATGAAAGACGACTATACAAGAAAAATAAATAAAACAGTTTGTAGCAGTTTAGCTTCACACAGTCGCATACATATTACAGCAAGGTATTTGGACACTCAAGAGGATAGCAGCATGGTAGCAGTCTAGCTTTTACGGTCTGTTTATCTTCAATATTTCAGCAGTTATTTTTCAAGGCAGGCAAACGATGCACTAAATGAACAAGATGGATAGTGGGTTTAGGTTGTATAGTAGCAAATTCACAGATAAAATAATCTGTTTCTTCTTTCTCTTTTTCTGCTTTCAGCCTAATCCTTCCAATAAATTAGCCATCATCCACATCTTGGGGCTGCTGTCCAACCTCTTCACCACGCTCGACATCAGCAAGCAGGACGATGAGTCAGCGGACGGCTCAGCACCACCTGTCAAAACAGCCCCACCTCCACCTGGACCAAACCCAGTCAGTCACCACACACCATCGTCATTGTCATCAGTGGGGTTGGGTGATGGGACGAATGCATTGACTATCAGTAGCAGCTAGCGCTAATGCTAATCGCTAGCTACTCGCTAGCTTTGGTTAATGTGTTTAATTGTATTATGCACCTGAAGGAGTGCTAATGTGAATTCTAAGCCAATTGTTAGTTTGGTTAAGGAGCAGCTCATAGAAGGGTAAAATATTTAAGGTGCATTGCACTTATTTTGTGTTAATATTAAAATCATTCAGCTTTAAATTGTTTGCTTGTTAGCCACGGTTAGCAACCAACCAGTCTAGTAGTTGTTGTTGTTGTTATACGTCATCTAGCGCGCGCCGGTAAACGTCCCATGCTGCGTTCATGCAGGCTCGGAAATGCTGAAGCCTACAGAACAAACATCGGTTATAAAAACCTGACACCGATAATTCCCGATATTATATATATATATATTACATACATTTTTTTGTAAATAAAGGGGGAAAATATCGGACATCCCTAATATTTACTAATACAAACAGTATGTCCCATTGAAAGGCTTCGTTATCCACTACATTGCAGTTTGGTAGTTGAGAAATGCAGCAGGGCACATGCTGCTTGCAGCAATATGAGCTCCTCACCCTGCACCCACCACTGCTTAATACATCGGTTGTCACTGGTTAGAGGGGTGAGCGTGGCCAGAGGGAAAATTTTGCCCTGTCAGTCAACCACAGTCATTCTGCTGATAGGCATGCACCCATGTGTAAATACTGATGTCTGCTTGTTTATAACTTTATATTCATCATTTTTTGAATGAGGTTTATTTGTGTTTTTCAGGTTGTGGTGGTTTTGCAACAAGTGTTTGCTCTCATACAGACTGTACTCAGTAAGTGGCTCAACGACTCGCAGGTGGTAGAGGTGAGTCATCGCCATGTGCGGCCACATACTGTCAAACCTCTGCTTTCTAAGAAATCAGTCCAAATAATCACTTCTGATGACATGTCAGTACAGCTGATCTCATGTCATCCCTCAGGCTGTGTGCGCCATCTTTGAGAAGTCGGTGAAGACTCTGCTCCATGACTTTGCTCCCATGGTGTCTCAGCTAAGCGAGATGCTTGGGCAGATGTACAGTACAATTCCCCAGGCCTCAGCCCTTGACCTCACACGACAGGTACACACTCACACGTGCACATACACACACAAGCGCACATTCGTATTCTTTATTGTTACATGCATTTTAGACATTTGTCAGAAAAAGGCTATGTATGAGCTAATCAGCTATGCACCAATGAGCCCAAGGTTAATGAGAATACAGTATAAGTTTGTTACAGTATATATCCATGACTAAACCAGCCACCTAAACTAAATTGCCTGTGCTATTTTTACACCCAAGTGATATTATTTTAACAGTTTACTAATCCAACTATAATGAATATGATAATATGTTGCAATTTTGTATCTGATCACACTAATGATCTCCCACTGCCTTGGGTTATAAGCATTTAGGTATAGTGACACTCTGGGTATGTGCCTATGCAGTTTTTCATCTTTCTTTTAAACTGTGGTTTCTTTGAGAGAAATCCAGTCAAAACAGGTAGCGTTAACTCAGATTACTGCTACAGAAACTTAATTTCCTGACCATTTATGTGTGGTTTTTACATGTGCACATGAATCATAGCAGTGGCTCTTTGCATTCAGATTAAATCAATCCAAAGTCCAACTGGAACTGAAAATCACGCTAAAATAAAGTCAAATGAGTCTGTTTCCACAGCTGAACAGTACATTTATTAATATATAGGCCCAGTCACAAGTCACAAGTCTAGTTAGAAAACAATAGGTTATTTGTAAAATTCCGACTCATTTGCACAGTCAGAAAAAAAAACCCAAACTGTGTTCTCACTACAGAGCTTGTTTTCTCACTACGCTGTCAGTCCAAATGCTATGACAAAAAAATTTAAACTGCATGCTGTAGTGTTATATATTACTAATACACTTAAAACATACCAGGCTGGGTGGGGTAGGACTCTGATAGTAACCAGCTGTATGTAAAGAGGCTTTACAGTAATCAGGTTTCTGCAGTGCATGTGAAGACATTCAGTGGTTTTGTGATGTAGCCTGTTTTTCCTTCCATTAACCTGATTTCTTGTGTGCAAGTTAACACGGTGAATGTCTGACGTGAAGTCCTGCTGTTTTCAGATGGTGCATATATTTGCCAGCGAGACAGACCACTTCCCACCCATCAAGGCTCTGTTTGAGCTGGTTACCTCGGTAACACTGTCCATCTTCCAGCAAGGTAGGGGGTCCATCAGGGGCGGGACTGTGAATACTGTCAAATCTGTCTGTTCATATCAGTGGTAGACCTTTTGAATGTTTCTGATCATATTTGATTTCACAGGGTCCAAAATCATATCTTGGTGTAGCAGAGAAAAGGAATGAAACTGTAAACAAATTTGTAGAAAATAAAAGAAAACAAATAGTTAAAAATGTGTATATTATGGTGATATACTTCCATGTCCTACTGCAATTGTACTTGAAGACTGGCATGCTGTTGTATTTGTAGACCATAAAACAGCTTAGCCTGGGGACCACAAATAGAAAAAATGACAAAAGGTTAGAGGTGATTTGACTCTGTTGTCACAGTCGACCTTTAAACGTTTGCTCTCATTACTCATTAATGCAAGAGGAACCACAAAGTGGTCTGTCTGCTTGATGTGTTGAAGTAAAAAAGTCTCAAATGATCATTTTTATTAATGCAGACTTGTGTATCCACTGATTGTTGATTGCAGTGTTTTCTATACTTATCAGACTAGTATTTGCATTTGCTTTTTATTATTATTTATTTATTTCAATTTACTGTTTCAGTGTTTGGGCTGCATGAAATTTACTTTGATTTTATAGTGTTCAAAGTTTATCAGACATTTTTTTATGACCCTGGGGCCAGACTTAGGTTCTGATTTTCACTCAGCATAAGATGGACATGAATAAGATGATATAATTTCATCCACTACACTTAGGTTAGATAACTTGTACCAGCTCTGTCTGCTGCTCCCCTTCCCTTTGTGTTGTCCCCTTTTTCCCCTCCTCCTTTTCTGCTTTGACTGGTTAAGTAATGGCTGCCTCTCCTCCTGCCTCTAAACTCTTTCTTTTCTGAGCAGGTGCCTTTCAGTAGACAGTATCAGTTCAGGATACAGTCACAGCACAGACACCACTAGCTTATTCTGTTGGCTGACATATAACATAGCAGGGCGGGCCAGCTCAATACGACTTGGATTAGAGTCAGGCTCTCCATCACAGCCCTCTGAATAAGCCCTGTATTCTCTCCAGGGGAGAGATGTGTGTGGATGAGGGGTTGGAGGGGGATATTGAGCAGGAAACTTGTTTGGAGTCTGGGAACAGCTAAAGCTGGGCGCTTACTACAGACGTTTGTTCTGTTTCATAACAAGTTTGATGTTGGAGTCCTTCCAACATCAATCTTAAGCCATCGGAGAAAACCATGTTTGAAAGTCAGGAATGTTGATGTGAATTCTTCAGTCCAGAAGCTTCTACAGGAAATGTGTGTTTAATTGTGCATCATTTGCAAACTGTCCTACTTTAAAAAGTCTCGTAGTCTGTGTCCAGCATAAGGGAGGTAGTGATATCAGAACCTATCCTGATCTTTGAGTGTGATTCATACTGATGGCTATGGGTTCACCTTTGAAGCAAAGGGGATCTTATTGACCAGCTCTGAATGGACCCTTTACAGAAACCTCCTCCCCTGAGGCACTTCTTTCAGTCTGAGAGGAAATGTGTTGCTTGTTGTTTGATCACGTCGATGCCAGCAGTGCCTCCTGGGAAGGAGGTAAAAAGGGGGGTTCATTCAGGTTTGGTGCCCCTTTTCCTCCAAACTGTAACAGTAACAGAGGTGCCTCCTGGGTTCCCACTCCAAACCAACTTTTGTTTTTTTAGGTTTGTTCTTTTTCTCTCGTTACTTCTTTCTTTTTTTCTCTCCAAACAGACCCATGTCTTTGTCTTCTGCCTGTTTTTTGTTTTTGGTCGGTCTGTTCTTCCAAGACTCTGCCAAAGCTTCATATGCCCCCCCTCCCCTTCTCCCCTTCGTTCCTTACTCACGTGTGAATTATTTCAATGAAATATTTTTGAGTTCTCTTTTATTTCCACATGACTGTTGAATCTATTCAGTTGCTGTTTGTATATTATTCTTATTCTCTTATGATTTCTTAAGTTTCATCTTTATTATATTTTAGGACCCAGGGATCATCCTGATATTGTTGATTCATTTATGCAACTCCAAGCTCAGGTGTGTTTTTGGTTTCTTATTTCATTCACTTTGGGTTTCTCTCTCTCTTTCTCTCTTTTTCTAATTTCTCCCTGTTTCTCTGTCCTCTTCTCCCTCTTCCTCTTTCTGTTCTTTGTTACTGGACCCTTAGGTGTCCCATCACATAGGCGAGGCAGTGGAATGAAACATGAGGGGAACGTTTGAGAAAGAGACGCCTGTCTCTCCTCAAACGCGTTTGATTCTAACAGTCACCTCACCACACCAAGTACATAGAGGGTTTTCATTTTACCTGCAGAGACCACCTGAATCAGTCTGATATGCAAACCAAGTATACAAGGCTTTGATAATACACCAATCTTTATCATGTTTGTTTATCATTCTTACAAGTAACACTCACACTGTATTCAGGTAGTTTAGGCAGAGAGCTTGAATGACCTCTTAAAATCACACTGCTGTATTATTTTTATATCATTTATTAACGATACTCTATAAACTTGCTGGCTTAGTTAGGTGAAGACATTGTACTTCCAAAGTCCTCTCAGTGGCTAAGAAAGACAATGACAGTATTTTCCCCCTTATTTTTGCTAGATGACAATGCGTTTTTTACATTTATTTTATTTTGGAAAGATGTCAGGAAATTCTTCACAGAGAGGGCCTTGTAAATCTTCTATTAATAGTTATATTGATTTATTATGCAGCTCAACAGGCTGTTGAGAAGATGAGTGCTAGTGTGTGGACATTGCATGGAAATCCACCATTTGGAGCACTTATATTTTTATTAAATCTTTTCCCTTTTTTGTAAAATCAACATCGGGGCATTTGAAAAAACATCAACACCCTCAGCGACTTTGATGAAATATTTCAGTTGATGCAGCACTCATGGGAAGATGATGTAATGGCGTCAGTTATAGCATTGTGGTCCCAGGTGACTGGTTAGTCTCTGAGCCCAGTCCTCCTCTGAAATCATTCCAGCCCAGAGCCAATCAAAGCCCAAATGAATTAATATTCAACTAATATTAATCAGTTCAGACAAATTGGCTGATGGCTCTTCTGTTTTATATTTTTGTCTTCCGTCTTCATTCTTCTTCCTTTTGTTTTCTATCTTTGGATAGATCTGACCTTCATCTCTCTCCCTCTCCCTCTCTCCCTCTCTCCTCTCCTCCATCCTGAATGAGTTCATTATTACGAGATGAGTTGTATTTCTCTTTATCTGCACATGTTAATTACTTACACACTTCTGTTGCATATTCAATCCAGTCAACCAAAAACAAGGAAAAGTAATGTTTCAAATATAATTGATTTCAAGAAACAAAACCATCATTGCCTTTAGTTTGACTTAAGTTTCCAATGATTTCAAAGTTTGAGTTTTTGCAATTTGTTTGTTATACCTACTGAGTTCTGCATTGGAGGATCTCTGTATGAGTTTGGATATAGTTTTTCCTAAACAGATGGAGAGAGTATTATAGCCTGGTAGGCAGATCTGTTCTCAGTCCTGTGTTGCTGTCAGATCCGGCTACCAGGCTGAGCGGGTATTGTTGATAGCAGTATTTTGAAGGAGCTTATGCAGTGGAATGTGGTGAAGCAGTACCGATTGGGTCGGGCCGACAGAAACATACTCTGTTTAATGCCTTTATCTGCCTCTTAGGCCCTCAAACGGAAGCCCGATTTGTTCTTGTCTGAGAGTCTTGACGTGAAAGCAGTGTTCCACTGTGGTAAGTTTGCGCATTGTTTACATAAATACACACACCGTCCCTACACTCTGTTCTGGGTGTTTTGCTACAGTTCCTGTGAAATATGTGCCTGTCAGTACAAAGTACAAACTGTGAATGTTTGACACCATCCTCCAGTAGTTTATTTATGCTTCTGACTCCCTCTGCCACCTCTAGGAGTTCTGTCACTCAAATTTCCTGAGGCTCCGACAGTCAAGTCAACATGCTTGTTCTTTGTAAGCCACACACACACACACACACACACACACACACACACACACACACACACACACACACAACTTGAAACCTTTGAAAATATGCATGTTTATAAATGAGTCATTTTGCTTTAACTGTGCTGACTGTCTCTGTGTTTCTGCCGTAGACTGAACTGTTACCCCACTGCTCTGACGTGCCTCCACTGGCCAGAGTGGTACAAGAGGACGGCAAGCTGCTGATCCAGGCTGTGCTGGAGGTGAGACGCATATTACACATTTCTACATCACGCCACAGAAAGTTTGAATCATTTCACTGACGCTGCAGTTGGCTGTATTATCACACATAAACGTTTCTTCTTCTCTTATTGTAATTAAGTCCCTGCTGTCTCCCCGCTTTCTCTAGGGCATCGGGGGCGGGGCATCTCGGAGCCTGATGGACCAGTTTGCAGAAGTGCTTTTCTCGCTGAACAAGCACTGCTTTTCTCTGCTCGCTGTGTGGTTGAAGGAGGCGCTGCAGCCTCCTGGGTTCCCGTCATCACGGGTCACAATTGAACAGAAGGACAACTTCTCACATCAGATACTCAGGTAGCGCTGGCGGACATTTGTTTACAGGCTTATTGGCTTATGAATCCGTTCAGTTAGTCATACACGTGATTTTCCACATATATAATGGTATGTATTTGTTCTCTTTACTGCCTCCCCCATCATGCAGAGAGCGAGTGAACAAGAGGAGGGTGAAGGACATAGTGAAGGAGTTCACACTACTGTGCAGAGGGCTCCATGGTACAGAGTACGCCGCTGAATACTGAAACTCTACCCTTGAACTCTCACCTAACCGTGACCTCTGCCCTCAGCGCAAAACAGCTGGATGCCACAACAATACAGTTCTCACAAACCCCATCAGTGAAGATATCGTGAAATGATTGTAATGATAACCCACCCCGCCGCAGGACAAGACATGGAACCATTCCAGCACAGACCTACCATCGGATTAATGGACAGATATGAAATCCCCGGTGGCTTTAGGGAGGCCCTCCTCTCTGCTCCGATATTTTTTTTTTCTGTTCTGAGATTGATTGTTTCTCTCTCCCTCCCTCCTCTTATTTAAAGGTTGTTTCTTTAGAAGAGCTTCGAGCAGCACTCCCAGCATGCTGCCTCACGCCTCCTTCTATCTCTGTCTTGTTCTGCCTTTCTAGATCTTCCCGTGGTTCCTAGGCTGTTTCCTGGTGATTAGCATCCATATGAAATGGTAGTGGTATCGTACGTAGCTACTTGACATTATTTTTCAAAATAAATCAAATTAATTATATAAATGTATATGTATACACATATAGAAAGATGGTGGTTGTCAGTCCTGCTGCTGCTAATGGGAAGAGAGAAGGACCAATGTCAGGAGGGGATTCTGCAGGAAAGATTACATTAATACAATTATAATTACTCCCACTCGTGCCCCTGAGATCTCTGCATTTGCCAAATTATCATGAAATGTTTTGTGAATTTGTCCTTCTTTTTATATAGATGCCTTTTTGGGGGGTATGAGTGGAGAAAGAAAGCTTAAAACCACATAACTGGACTGAAAATAGTCTGCTCTCTTGCCCAGCCCTCTGTGTATAGGGCTGTTAGTACCTCATGTACATACAGTCCCACCCAGTCATACTGCAGTCTCCTCGGGTTGTAGGGAGTGGTTTTTATGCATTGGTCCCTTAGGTAAAGCAGGACTACCCAGAATGAAGGCTGGAGAGGAATTATGGTAGCTGAAGGCACAAGATAGAAACTGAGAAGGGAACTGAGAGTTTGGAGGGGTTAATAATCCTCACGATGGACTGCTTAGTCACTGTAATCGTGCAAAAATATTAATCAAGTTGTGCATATTAACAGTTATTGCTGAACACTTCTGTGTATTTGAGTGTATGCGTGTGTTCATACCTGTATGTTTGAGAGGTTGTGTGTGCACAGATGTATCTTTTTCCACTTGTTCAGTGCACTTATATTGGACCTACAGTACACATCCATAACTTCCTCCTATCTTTTTAACAAAGAGCCCATTCATTTCTTCACATCACACTCATTCAGACTGCTCTTTTCTTAAACACTGACCAGGCATGTCCAGTATTTCACCTCACCGGCAATCACACCCATCTATTTAACGTCATTATCATCTGGAATGACCAGCCAGTGGTAATCATTGACCAGACTCATCTATCTATCTGTTATTGACACCAACTACTGCGCCTAACAAACTGCTTGTGAACAAGCCACCCAAATCCTTTCATCCATCTGGTCACTGCCTTGGAGAGGACCGAGAAGGATTAGAGTTCAGTAACAAAACATAAGATCTCTGAGAAAGTTATTCAGCGTTTTGCAACAAGAATTAACACCGACATTCTGTGCTCATCCATTATGCCAGAGACATTATTGGTGAAGCGATGTGACGGCTGTAAAATACACTGTCTGGTGAATCAGCAGGACCAGTTGACATCTAATAACACTCAGCATCGAAATGTACTTTGTGGTCTCTGATAAACTTTATCTCAGTCTAATCCTTCTGTCTTATCCGAGGTGCCTGCAGACATGTAGCATGTATGTGTTTTGTGGGGTGGGGTTGGGGAGGGTGGGGGATTGAGATCGAGGTTCAGCGGGCAAACATTCAGTGTGTGAGACACTGCAGAGAACCGTGATTTAGACTGAGAGCCGAGGCAGGAACCAGCTCTGTGAGTGAGCTGTCCTGCCCCCGGGTCTGATAATAACGGTGAATGATTGGACGTTCAACACTGATCCTCGGTCTGTATTATGGTCTCATTCTGAGGTGGGAAAATAAAACTATGTTTGTCACAGTTTATAGAAAGAGTAGTAGGTGGAGGAGGGGAGGGAGGTATGAAATGTACATTGTTTTTTTGTACCTTGGCTTTAATTTATTAAATATATCTAAGACTGCATCTCCCGACTCTTCTGTGTGTCAGAGTAGTTTTGTTCTTTTAACACTTCCATCACATTGTCCCGACAATTAATACAAGCATCATTGTAGATAAAAGTAGAAACATGTATGAAAATATCTTTCATCTCTTTATTATTTAGGCATAAGTAGCCAGTTTACTGAGAAACATTTGTAAAACTGGAGCCAATCTTTTAAAAAACCTAATTTCATTTATTAGCTATTTGTTGGCTGTTCTGTTTTATTTTTTAGTTTATGAAATTAATATTAATATATATTAAATGTTTCTCCAAGGAAACCTCCTTAGAAATTATTAGCGAATTATTTATAAAATAAAGCAGAACCATTTGATTCACCATCATGAAGTCTAAATGCTGTTTGAAAGCTCTCTCTTTTCTTGTGGCCTAAAAGCCAAATGTAAATACTGTATCTTGACTCTAAAACCAACCTATAATATACCCATCAAAATGAAATAACCCACAAATGACCTCACTGTCACTATAGACCAGAGTATCACTGTATTTCTCCACTACAAGAGTAAATCTTTCTAAACTTAGAGGTAAGAGGCATGAGATCATGTCGTGAGTGAATATTCAATGAAAAAGAGTAGCGCATGCGCACAGACTTGAGCGACTCACACGTGTGAGTGGAGGTCCATCCATCCCGTCCTGACAGTCTGCAGACCTCACCAACCAGACCACCCTCAGGTCATTTACAAGCAGCTGAACTTTCTGCAGGACGTCAGAGGTGAGCAGCATCTCACCGTTTCATCCTGAACAAAGACTAAACCGCTGCAGCTGCTGCACGTAAGTGAAGCTAACTACTAACTAGCCTCCTGCTAACTCTGGTACCGTTTAGCCATTTAGCTTCCACACAAGTAGCTTGAAGAAACAAAACATGGGAAACAACAACAACTTGTTGTCAACAAATAGGAAACCCCGAGCATTATTTCACTGTTGTGTCAACTGGTATCACTTAAAGGACACCTCTGTATCCTCCATGTTGTTACAGTAGACAGTTTGATACCATCAGTTGCATCACTATCTGTGTGCGTGTGTGTGTGTGTGTGTGTGTGTGTGTCTGTGTGTGTGTCTGTGTCTGTGTGTCTCTGTGTGTGTCTGTGTCTGTGTGTCTGGAAGTCCTCTAACTGGACTAACAGAAAGCTCCTGACCATGCAGTGTGTGTGACCTGCAACATGCCCATAATAAATGAGCTAATTGTCAGGACGCTGTGTGTGTGTGTGTGTGTGTGTGTGTGTGTGTGTGTGGTGTGTCTCATATATACATTTATCTTGATAATGACTGAGCTATAACATCAGGATGAATTAAGATATGAGCCTTCTGACTGTTGTGAAATGAATGAAACAGATTATGTTTGATTAAAATGTGAACAGTTTTCTTAAATGTTTTTGATGCACGATAAACTCAGTGATAACACTTTGGGTTTGGAATTTTTTGAGTCAAGAGTATGTAAACTGAGTTCATGTTAGATCAACTATGAGACGACCACAACATCTATAAATTGTTTCAACACATCCTTGCTTTAATATAATCATTGTACGGTCTGAAAACACTGAGATCACAGCGTCATGAGTGACCTGCTATCTGATTGTTGGTTTGTCCTGATCTGATCTGATCTGGAGACTAAGGTCAGACTCAGTGGGAAGACTTGAGTCCTTATTCATCATTGATCATCAGTATTGACCTCTGATTTAGTGATACATTGCTTCAAAATGTGCTCTTAGTAAGACAGTGTAAGTCAATGTCGTCAATAGATGATGCCTACAGTTCATTATCTTTGACTCTGTGATTGATTGTGTTAATGGTGGAGGTCTCATGGTCTTTAAACTGGATTTATTTCTCTGTCTCTCCATCAGTCATGGCTGTAGTGAAGTTCTACAGTAATGAAGTTGTGAATGGGCGAGCCTTACAGAGGGCAGCCAAGCTCTACCCCCAGCTGTCAATCACCACCGAGCTGTGCTACAATGCGGAGCTGACAGGTGAGTGTGTAACAGCTCGTCAGTTGGTGATGATGAAGATACTAATAATGGAGGATGCAGAAGATTTTCCACACGCCTTCTGTCTTCTCCATTAATCCATTTTACCGTGCTGTCACTGTTTCCTCCTAATGTGTGCTGCAGGCTGCGAGAGTCTCAGTGCAGAACAGAAGGAGGTTCTCCTCTGGTTGTTTCGCCCTCCCCTGCAGGCGGAGCCGCTGTCTGAGAAACCAAACCTCACAGAGGGCAGCGGGGAGAAACTGGTGGAGATCGGACCCAGGTACTGCTGCACCCACTCAGTCTGATAAATGACCTGTATGATAGGCTGTGGCTCTGCTTTAGTCCACCATTGGGCTTTATGTCCTCCATTATATTGAATTTGTTTTTAGACTGATGACCTGAGCAGCACACAAAAAGACTTTCCTATATGAAAAGATCCTGATGAAAGGTCCACTAATTAGTTTTTTTTCTGGATCTCTGGATTTCAGTATGTTTTGGCAATCTTTTGTTGTTATATGAGTGTACATACTGAAACAAGCTGGGCATGAATAGGGATGGGAATCGAGAACTGGTTAAAAATTCTCTATTGGAATATTATGCCTCTGAGATTTTCAATTCCTTTGATCAATGTTGGCATGTTTTCTGACAGTTGTGCAGTGCAACAAAACAAAAACAATGATGTTAAGTTAATGCACCTCCACTGCTGGAAACTTTTAACAAGAAACAGTCATGGCAGAGAGGAAGAAACAGTCCAAAGCGTGTTTTCATTTCATGAAGATGACAACGGTGCTCATTGTAATGTCAGTAAAACGATCATTTCAAGTAACACCAGTAATATTCTGAACCATATTTCTACACAATATGGGCCAGGAATGCCATATATTAGACACTTTACAAACAGTCGCCACTGCTTCCCAACTGAGCAACACCCCTGTCACACAGAGGGTAAATATATAATGTTATAATAACAATGCTTGGCAGACTTTTTTTCACACAGAAAGCTGATCAGGAATCAACAATAAGCCGAATCAATAATGACATTAGTATCAATAAAATCTTATAAATTCCCATCCCTGGGCCTGAATTTTGATTTGGTAGAAATGATCCAGTTAGGTCTTCTGGTAAATGTTTCTGGGAAATCTGCACAGTTACCTACAGCTGCAGGTAACAGATCAATAAGAGCTGAAAGCCCCACAGCAACCCCTAGAGGTTGCATGGTCTTTATGTTTTTCTATTCAAAGAGTCTTATCTGTTGTGGGCCTGAAACGTAAACTTCGGCCATTTACGACTGGTTGCTTATTGCTACAGTAAAGAAAAGATATTAAAGCAAATATTTTTTTTCCCTGTGAGGCAAGCAGATGTTCACTGTGTCCACTGGAGAATAAAATGGAAATCTTAAATAATCATTTTAATCTGTCACACAGACTGAGGGGCAAACATGATTTGTATTTGGAGGATCTCAACCAGTGAGGCAAACATCAGACGTGTTTTTATTTGTGTTGTTGCTGTTTGGTTCCTCAGGTTGAACTTCTCCACCGCCTGGTCCACTAATGCCGTGTCCATCTGCCAGAGTGCCGGCCTCACTAACGTCTCACGGGTCGAGCTGTCTCGCAGGTTTCTAATCAAGGTTTGCACACACAGACACACACACACAGACACACACAGACACACACACACACACACACACACACACACACAGAAAAATCTTTTTCTGGAGCACTGATTCAGGATTAGTTTTCATTTCATGTTGGTGCTTCTGATGAGATCTGTGTCTCTCCCCTCCAGCCAAAGAATGGACAGAGTGTGAATGAGCTCAATGGAGATATAAAGAAGCTGATTGAGTGTCTGTATGACAGTATGACAGAATGCATCTATCAACATCCCATCACATCCTTCGCCGTGGAAACCAAACCACAGTCGGTATTTGAGGTGGACATCCTGGGGAGGGGTCGGGCAGCCTTGGAGACGGCAAATGATGATCTGGGTGTGACTCTTAAATACAGTTTATAAAAGTTTCTCTTATTAGCACTATTCAGCCTCTTAGTCTTCTTACTCGTTACTCAGACTCCTATCGTACTGTAACCTTCCTCTCTCTTCTCTTCCTGTATGCCTCTTTTCAGTCTTGCAGCTCTCTGTGAGTACACTGTGTCTGCTGCTGGAGGTAATAATGTCTCATGATGCGCGACATTATTACTTTGCTGGTTAAAGTCACAGGACAGCAGTGATGCTGCTGATTATCTTACACATGCATGCGTGTGTTTAGTGTGTGTCTGTGTTTGATGTCATGTGAAAGCAAATTAAAGGCTCCCTCAATTTTATAGAAAATCCAAAACGGAATTAAATGATTGATGATTGACTGATTTCAATTTTTAAGTCCAAATTTTGTTTCCTGCTGACTTTTGTTTTAGAACATAGGCAATAAGTAACAAAGGTGAACTTGCTGTCGACTTCTGAATGAGAAAGTTTTTGGGTCAAAGATACAACTATAAAGTCATAATTTAACAATTTTTCTACAACCACAAATAGGGCAGCGACTAATCATAATTTTAGTTATGAATTAATCTTATACATTTTGGTGAATTGTTTGGTCTATAAAGTGTTAAGAAAAATTTAAATGACTGTACAGCTACATTTCATACTTAGAAATCATGAAAGGTAATTACATAAACCAAACGTGTCAAATAGTTTTTGAGTTTCTGTTGTCTTGAAGCATGCAGAGGGTACTGTATGATAGTGGAATACAGACCTGTGTGTGTGTGTGTGTGTGTGTGTGTGTGTGTGTGTGTGTGTGTTCATTTTGCATCCGGCCAGTGTTCAACGATTGCAAGTTTGGGTGTTGATGTCTGCAGTGCTGTTTGAACATGCACAATTCTAACCGTCCATCTTTGGTGGTGGCTGCTTTTTGCCACCAAGATCTCATAATGTGTTTGGTCTTAATACAGGTCTGGCCTTTGACTCCTGGGATCTGGACTACTACACGTCGATGTTCCAGAGGATTAAAAGGAACC